TGACAGTAGATATATCACAGCATCACTGGTGTGGTGTTTTACATCGTTTTTCCTCCTTCTGTCAAAAAAATTCCTTTTCATTCCACTGCTGTGGAGAAATGAATAAATTCTGCTAAATGACAACGCATTCTCACCCCAAGGCGTCACCTTTGACCATGCTTCAATATTTGACGTTTTAGGCGCCCTTTAGCGTCACTTACATGACGCGATCCTACGGCGTCATCTAACTGACGCTAAAGGAAAGCGTCAGTTAGAGGACGCGGTTAGGTTTAGGTATGGGGTGGGGGTAGGGTACACGCGATCCTAGGGCGTCATCTAACTGACGCTAAAGGGCGCCTAAAGCGTCAGATATTGAAGCATGTCCAAATGCTTCCCAAGGCGTCAGTTTAGTGACGCCTTGGGGGTGAGAATGGGCTGTAAATGAATGAATGAAAATTTGAAAGTAAAACCTCAATATTGCACCATGTCCTGTATTCCTTCTCAGAGTTTTCTGTCTCTTGCAGCTGTTGGTTTATCATAAAAAGGTTATTCTGCATGGCCTCGGCTACATTCCTTTCCCGTCTCCAGCTGTTTCTTCACTTTCTGTTCCTGCTTTCTCAAAAACAGCTGCATCTCTGAAAGCAATAATTACAATAAGAATAATTAAATTTAGTATCACAAATCACTTTGAGATAGGTCCTAACTGCGATGTATCTCAATAGGATTTTTTTAGTTTTTTAACCTCAGTCATACTTAAATTGTTTATGCCATTTTGTTTAGTTCCCTGTTGTCTTTGGCAATAAATAAATAAGTAAATCCCAATCCATCCTTTAGCACGTAATTTAAGATAAAGACTCCAGCAGACTTCCTTAACCCTTTGATGCGCAAGCTATGGATACCCCTTCTAATGCGCAACATGGGTCTAAAAAGACCCGTATTCATTTCCTATGGTATTTCAGTGATGGCTGAGTGTTTTCTTTGCTGAATCTTTAAACTATGTATTTTATCATTTGTTATTCCAGGTCTTCATTAAATATCTTGTTTTTGATATCCATAAATCATTGTGTTTATGTTTCCTTTCTTACTTTATAAACAAACACAGTTTTTGTATTTCTACATCAGTTTTACACATGGGTCTAAAAAGACCCGTATTCATGTCCTATGTTATTTAATGCATGGCTGGACTTTTCTTTTCTTTTTATCTTTTGAGATCAATTTATTTAAGCATTTAATATTCCATTATCTATAAATTTCATGATTTATAAATATTAAAAAAATATTGTTTTCAATTACCAAAAATATTTTTTTTCAATTTTTTCTAGGTTTTGTGTTACTATATCAAATGTACTTATCAAGCATAATAAAACAAAAGAATAAAGACAACGTTTTGTTAAATTGATAATCTTAGAAGTAATTTTAACAACATATTTAACACTTGAAATGTTTATTTGCCACTTTGTCTTGCATAGCATTCACATATCACAGATAACTGATAACTGATAACACTGACATTGAACTGTGGTGTAGTGTAACTGTATTGAATTGTGGTGAATGTGATCAAATAAAAAAAAAAACAGAAAAAATAAAATCACACTGGTACAGCGGCATCTCAAATTGCCATCTTAGTGCTTACATGCCTCACAAATGACAACTACATGTTTGTGCTCCTTGCACACAGGCCTGGTGCTCTGGGAACACCAGTTGCTGACTTTTCTGTCTTTGGCAGCTGGGCATCATTTCAATCATAGAATGATTTCAGTATAAGAATCATTTCAGCATATGAATGATTATGAACTGTTAGGCCTAAATGTAAATAAGCTTTAAAAAACAATCTTTTTTTGTGTAGTTAACATTAGCTAGCTAGAATATGTCAACAGCTAGCTAGCTAATAGTATTGGACATGTTTCTCCTTCTCACTAGGATTTCTCACTAGGATTACAAGGTCAAGGTAACCATAGCCTAATATTGAGATATTATGTTGTTATCTTTTACAATATATATATATATATATATATATATATATATATATATATATATATATATATATATATATATATAAAATGTCTGTGGTTAAAATAAATTAAGATTAATAAAACATTTTGACCCATGTATGTAAAATTGATGAGGAAATAAATTAAAAAAACCTAACATAATGATTTGTGGAAATTAAAAACAAGATATTTAATGAATACCTGGAATAAGAAATGATTAAAAAAAATATAAAATAATATTTTAAATTAAAGATTCAGCAAAGAAACACTCAGCCATCACTGAAATAACATCTCATGAAAACTCAGTCTGAAATAACATTTCAATGAATATGGGTCATTTTAGACCCATGTATGTAAAATTGATGTATAAATACAAAAACTGTGTTTGCTTATAAAGTAAGAAAGGAAACATAAACATAATGAGTTGTGGAAATCAAAAACAAGATATTTAATGAAGACCTGGAAAAGGAAATGATAAAAAAAACACATATATTTTAAAGATTCAGCAAAGAAACACTCAGCCATCACTGAAATACCATAGGAAATGAATACGGGTCTTTTTAGACCCATGTATGTAAAATTGATGTAGAAATACAAAAACTGTGTTTGTTTATAAAGTAAGAAAGGAAACATAAACATAATGAGTTGTGGAAATCAAAAACAAGATATTTAATGAAGACCTGGAAAAGGAAATGATAAAAAAAAACACATATATTTTAAAGATTCAGCAAAGAAACACTCAGCCATCACTGAAATACCATAGGAAATGAATACGGGTCTTTTTAGACCCATGTATGTAAAATTGATGTAGAAATACAAAAACTGTGTTTGTTTATAAAGTAAGAAAGGAAACATAAACCCAATGATTTGTGGAAATCAAAAACAAGATATTTAATGAATATCTGGAATAAGAAATGATAAAATACATATATTTTAAAGATTCAGCAAAGAAAACACTCAGCCATCACTGAAATACCATAGGAAATGAATACGGGTCTTTTTAGACCCATGTTGCGCATTAGAAGGGTTGCTATAAAAAAACTATTTTTATTCAAAAAGTAAGAAATGAAAAATAAAAATAAGGATTTGTGATGATCAAAAACAAGTTAATTGAGGAATACCTGGAATACTGAGTGATGAAATTAATTTCTTGCAAAGATATAGAAAATGAAAACTCAGTCGGGTCTATTTAGACCCATGTTGTGCATCAAAGGGTTAAAAATACTGCCACTGAGTTCAATTCAACAATCTTTGTAATGTCTTAAAAAGCAGCAACTTGATTTTATTCCTCTTGCAAAAACTTAACACTTAACTGTTTTAAAAAATGTGTCACTGATGTTTCATTCCATTCACCAAACACTCAGAATACCCAAAATAACATTATTACTATAAGATTGATCACAGTTTATTCAAGCTATGATAGTATGAAAAAATAGTATACGGTTTTCATTATTTCTATTTTCATTTTTTTACTGTCGACACCCAGTACCCCCTTGTGGTCCCCAGACATAAATCCTTGTCCTGAGACTTACAATGGGCTTTACTATGGGCTTTACTGTGGGAGCACAGCACAGGAAAATTAAAAGAGAACCACAAAATTATTCAAAGCCTCAACAATGATGGACAAAGAACTAAACTCATACATTTACAACAAGGAACTAAACAAGAAACAGGTGAACATCATAATCCGTACCACAGCAAGAAATGTTTGTTATGTATGGCATGAACGTGTGTAGTGTGAATGTTATTTGGATGTACTAGTGCCATGTTGTCACTGTCATATGACTCAGTTGCATCACTTTATAGATCCTCTCCTCCTCATGGAATAGTAAAGTGTCATACGCACACTTCAGAATCTCGCCAGAAGATGTAGGTCATCTGGGTACTTTTTGCCTATGAGTACTATTCGGACATATACTTGCCACATACATTTCTTTGCCTATAATGTAAAAAAAAATATTGTTGGTTTAACTTAAAAAATTAAGTAACCTGGTTCACTTAAAATTTTAAGTTGATTGAACTGGAAAAAGTGAGTTAATACAATGAAGGAGATTGATTTAATCATCAGAAACTCAAAATAATAAGTTATCTGAACTAAATAAATTATTTAAGTTGATTTGACAAAAGAGAAAAACAAATCTTGATTTTTTTTTTTTTTTACAGTGCAGGCAGAGTTGGACCCTCATAGGATGAACTTTTATTGTTTCACTTAGATATAAATGTCTTCATCATTTCTGAATATTCCAGTTTATACAGGAGCATTTGTAAGAGCAAGGTCTGTTTCCCAGTAAATTTGTACACACATTTATAAACAGAAAAATCACACTCTCAAATAGTTCAAATATGAAATTCATCATGACATAATTTAAGCAGGACAAATCTCCTATTCATAATCAAACTATATGTTTTATGGCTTATCGGATATTTACATGAAATTACATAAAATAAATTCTTAAAATTATAATATTTATTCATTTTATTTTATTTTATTTTTTTGTTTTTAGAACAATGATGAACATCATATTTATAACAATAATTATAATTTATACAAAAAATAGTAGGATAGACCATTTCTCAGATTCTCATAAATCCAAAACAGGTGTACAAAATAGAAGGTTTGATTTATAGATAGCCTACATCTATTTATCTCCACACCGCACAGTGTGAATGAGAGACTTTGCAAAACAGGCATTGCAAAACACATGGCGTTTCTCACTGTCTACATAAACTCCAACTCTTCTGGGTATAATCTGGCTGACAATTAGGGTTTATTCCACGACCAAGTCGTACGAATTTGACGAAGGATTAAAAAGGGGCTAATTGGTACAAATTCATACGACCTCATACGATTTTGCTAAATCGTACATATTTTACGAATTGGCCAATTCGTATATATTCGTATGAATGACCTACCCCTTACCCCGCCTCTAAACCATACCCATCACGTGGGTTTAGACAAATCGTACAAATTCGTACGAGTGAGGTCATACGAATTAGTACGAATTAGACACTTTTTAATCGTTCGTCGAATTCATACGAAATGGTCGTGAGATCGGGTAGTTTATTCACTGCCCCTTACTGCAAACACTCTGTCATCTTTTACTGAAAGAGATATGTTCTCAAAACATTTAGAAAATAATGCCTGCCACTGCCAGAGAGAAGCATTCTTCTCCTTTGGGTAATATCTAACTATAAGTCCACGTTCCCATCCTGGTTCAACTCAACCTCCCAGTACATCTGGTTGTATGTTCTCCACATATGTTTCCTTATAACCTTTGTGACACTTCTGGAATTTGGCAAAGCAAGCTTCCCCTTGAGACTGCCGATGGCTATCTTGTTCTGATGGCCGTTTCAGGTCTTGGTCTACTAACGTATCTGATAGGTCTTTAAGAGAAAAAAAGATTGTAAGAAGCAAACATTCTCCGAGTCCGAACAAATAAATATGTTGACCTAGACATATGGTTGTGTTTAATAACAGAAACAAAGATGTAAGTGTGTTAAATAATTTTTCATAAAACATTGCAATGAGAGATGTTCATTAGGGCTCAACTCATGTTTAACAGGGCCTAGCATGTCTCTCCAAACAATTAGTTGCAGGTCAGTTTCATAACGGCCAAGAGTGCAGTGGTCAGAAATCATTTTAAGTGCCATCAAGCCTTGATTTATATCTGTAGAAATAATAGTTTTAAATTCATCTACTGCACAAAAGTCACATTGGTTGGTTAAGAATAAAATGTTAGCCTATGATGTTCCCTACAAAAGTTATTTCAGTCATGTGTCATATCTTTCATTCCTCCCACCAGGGTCAATAAGTGCCCACATTATGTTGCTTAAATTGTGCATGATTCCTTTCCTTGGTTTCTTTCCTCACGTCTTAGCAACTTACTCCCACCCAATGACGCACTTAAGTGTCACTTAAAAGTTTTTTCAGCTGCGTTCAAGGTATATCTGGCCTTATGTTGTTTGAGTTATCTAAGAAATTCATAATAAATAATAATAAAGCATGATGCCCTGTTGAAATATGTGAGCTGTGGGTTTAATTAAATTGCAAAATGTAAAACATAAATTCACATTATAGTGACTGACAGATATGAAGGGGGAGAATTAAACGTGTATCAAGTTTTTCGACAAGATAGACTTCCGCACATACACCTGTGCATCCTCGCTCATATCTCCTCCGGAAGCTTCCTCACTCTTCGTTCCTCTCCTCCTCGTGGTGCAGAGAATTCTTATTCCTCTTTTGAATTTAATGGCGTTTGGCAAATTAGCTGCATTTCAACCAATCAGTGAATTGAGATCTTTTTGAAGAAATCCCTCATTAGGAAAAATCCCTTTCTACAAATGTGTTGCTCAAGGCAGCTTTTCTGGAAGCTTCCTCATTCCTCACCTCCTCAGATGTGCTTCAAGATGGCTGAGTTTCATCATGTTATAAGTAGGGCAGAGGAGCGAGGAAAGGATGCATCGATTTTAATTCCACGCCGAGTCCAGACCAGAACACAACTGTGTACAGCACAAACGGTTTTGCTGACAAATCCTGCATTATCCAGTGTTTTCCAGTTTTGAGAAACAGCAAGTGACTGATATTTGAACTGCCTCCTCTCAACCTCCTCAACATTTTGAATTCACAATGAGTTCACATTTTGCTCACAATGTATTACAAAGTGAGGATGGTGTGATGTCATTGTGATCATCGCAATCGCATGATCTCACACGTTGACTGGGTAGTCACGGTTTCATTGTAGTTTTAGAGTGTATTAACAACTTTTGGTTCGATTGAATCGAACTCTAATTCGTTTCCCCCCTTGGTGCGGACCTTTTGAGCACCTTTTGGGTACTCGGGTGCGGACCAAACAACCGAATCGAGACCCAGCTGAAGAGGTGGTCTCGGTATGGTTCCAAACGAACTCTGGTACGGTTCGTTTACGGTGTGAACCGACCCAATTGCAAGAAAGCATTGCGCCTTTGAGTTAACAGGTTTCCGTTGTCGGAGTTGCGTTATGGGAAAGTTCATTCTCTATGAATGAAAACTTTATACCTTATCCGTTTTCTGCGCAGTGCGGAGAGACAGTGTCAGCATGCTATGGTAGGCGCACATGAGAGCATGTTCTCTCCGCCGGAACCGTCTTGCAGCACATCGTCGTCTTCTCAAAATCCGAATTAGAACATAGTATAGATGACATATACTCAGTAGTTTTTTCATTTTACGTCTGTACAGAACAACACAAAGTTAGTAAAAGAACAAATACGAAATATCTCCATGCTGAGCCTTTTTTGCACTTCCTAATTTCCCTACTTGAGAATCCTTGTCCAATGAATGGACGTCCTTAGCACACGTGTGGTTTTGTTTACAAATTTTGGTTCACTTGTAAAAAGAGCAGTGTGAAAGCGAACAGTACCAAAAAAATAAATAATAATAATTTTATTTGGTCCGGACCAAAGCAAGTGAACTATCGGACTTTCCTGGTGTGAATTTAATTACTTAATTTTACACATTTTGTTCTGACCTCCAGATCAGTTTTGAGCCTTGGCTATGCATGTTGGTCAAATAAAGTTTAAAAAAAAAGAACAAAAATGTTTGCAAAAATGCATTTTACATCTTACTTGGTTCGGAAGGCAAACTTGATATCTTTGTTCTTACTGAGTGTGAACTCATCAACAAAGGTGAAACCTTCTTCACTCCACCACTGAAATTTCATTTCATGAAATCCAAAATGAAATGAAATGATAAGGTACGAATAACAGCATATAAGATGTGAATTATTACATTATATATTACATTATGCGTGTAGTGATTGGCATATTGTTAGTCCTGGCTCCAACACTGACACCTGATCAATCTGCAACTTTGCCAGCAATGATTCATTTTGCTTCATTGTTTCCTCAGCTCTGTTGGTTGCTCTCTTGAGCTGTCTCAATATTCAAGCATCTGGTTCAAGATCATGTCACCAATTTGTTTATTGTCATCCAAAATAAATCTCATTGCTTCTCTCACCACATTGTAAATTAACAATAGCATCAACAAAAACACATTAATATACAAAAAGTTGTCATTACAGTTTCTGTCACATTTTTTAATTTGTTTATTCATACATTGTACGTATACAACCTCACTGATCTCCATAACTTATTTTACAGGCTTGAAACTGTGTCCACGGTGATTCTCTCACTCCTTAACCAATCTCTGGTCATTCTCACAGAAAAGTTTGAGTTGCCTTTCATGGTCAGGACACAACAGTTCTTGTGCTTTCCTTGGAGTCTTGTTTTGTCTTGCGCTGTTGTATGACGTCCACAACAACTTGGTTACCTTTAACATCCTGTCTGGTGAAGGTTTGTATGCATTCTGGGCATTTGTGAGCACATTCACTTGATTCCACTTGAATACACTTGAAAACACTTTCGGCAGAGAGCAAGCTCACTGGGCAAGCTTACTGGATCTCGGAAGTCATTCAAACACACTGGAACAATGAGGTGGAGAGACAGCATTGAAGCCATGAAATCTCTTTTTAGAGTCCTCTGATGTTCAGTAAAAAACAAAAAGCTTCCCATTTTGAAGTCACACTAAACTTTCTCGATGGAACAATGAAGCTGTAGAGTTTGTTCAGTCTTTTATTGAGTGAGATCACACCCTCTTGCATTAGTGAACAGAAGGATGTTTTACTCCTGCATTGAATTCATGGGAGGGAATTCAACATCAATGTTAATATAAAATATACATTAGAAATATACACGTGAAAAGTTTCATTTACAAACTTTCCTTATGAAAAAGTGGAGAACTTTGAGTAACGAATGTTAAAAATGAGTTTTGACAACCATGAAGGGATAGTTCCCCAAAAATCTCTTCTTTTGTGTTTGGCAGAAGAAAGAAATTCAGGTTTGAAACAACGAGTGTGAGTAAATGATGACCGAATTTTCATTTTGGGGTAAACTATGCCTATCGTTTATCTCTAAATACATTGGATTATTTTTTGTGGGGTGCAAAATGTTTTAAACCATTTGTTCAGCTGTTATGTAAATATCACATACTTGGTAAAAGTTTACGGACAGAATTAACAATGGGCATGTCTTTAAGCTTAATACAAGCATTCGCTGAAAAGTATTTGTAGTCTCTATTCTAGTCTCTATTCTATAGAAACAGGTATGGTCAGGCATTCCAGTTTGTCTACTTTTCATGTTATACAACCTGTGGGAGGAGAGAAATTTAAATATATCTGAAACCGAAAGTGTTCACTTGGTAGAAGAACAAACACATCTAACAAAATCATCGTCTTCGTCTTTGGAAGAAAGAATTTATTCCACCAAAACAATACTTATTGCTTAGCAAGATTTTGACCAGAAGGAAGCTGAAATGAATTCTCCTTTGTCTTTGCAGATCAAGTGCTCCGTGTGTTTGAGTGATTTTACGGATCCAGTGACTCTTTCTTGTGAGCACTCGTTTTGTCGGCAATGCATCACAGGCCACATGCAGGCCAGCCTGGGACCAAGCGCCTGCCCAGAATGCAAAAGGCCTTATAACGAAGAGGACCTGAGATCCAGCCGTTTACTGAGGAACATGACCTTGACAGTGAGAGAGCACCTTGCCGAGCAGAAATCGGACAGATACTCATCTAAAGAAGGAACACAAACCTTCAATTCTCCAGAAATGGAGAGGACACTGATGTGTTCTGAGCACGAGGAGAAGCTTAAACTATTCTGTGAGACTGATCAGAAGCTGGTGTGTGTCATCTGCAGGGATGGAGACAAACATAAAGGCCACGTCTTTAAACCCGTGAAAGAAGCTGCGCAGATCAACAAGGTAAATAAACCTCGGGGTTATTTACAAAAGAGCCTCGTCTGACTTCCTGAGCACTGCGGATTTAACCCCTTTCTTGCTTTCAATATGCCATTTGTGTAATGTTATTCATAGCATAATTAGGTTTCTAAAATTGAGCCCCTGGCTCAATTGAGGCTCATTGAGGCTTTTTGTCAGTGCGTTTAAAATATAATATTTTTCTGTAGGGGGAGCTGAAGACTGCTTTGGGTTTTCTTGCCAAAGAAAATGGACAGTTGGATTACATGATACAACAACAGACAACTGAGATCACCAAAACGGAGGTATCAAAGCATGTAAACAAAGAGAAAAATAACGAATGAATTATTTGCACAGGTACCAGAGGCTTCACATTTCATGCGTGTGTACTCATCTTTTTGGCCTATCTGCCCTAATTATAATTAATTTGAGGGTGCAAAATCCCCAGTGTTAAATTAACACTGAGAGTGTGAATTATATAAACTCTGAGCAGAGTGTTAAATGAACACAGAAGCAGTGTTAAAGTTAATGAGATAATTAAGTGAATAATTGAGTGATGATTAAGCATTATTGAAGAAACTTAACAAGCAGAATCACTGAAGGAGAAAACCGTAGTTTTAAGTCACCATTATGGTGATCAGTGTTTGTTGTTTAAATCGTTAACTTTATATTTTGTTTGGCTCCTGTACATGAGTTATAACAGATGAATAAATAGAAAAGGTGACACCATCAGGTGTCTTCAATAATACTCAATGATCACTCAATTAATCACTTAATTATCTCATTAACTTTAACACTGCTTCAGTGTTCATTTAACACTGGGGATTTTGCTGTGTAACTGTCCTGATATTATAATGAAAATAAAATTAATTCATGACATATTTATTATATTGTGTTTATTTTATGTTCATTATATTTATGTTTTTGTCAAGAATGTCACTCCCGAAAACTAACTCGGTTAATAATTCATGACATAAAAATAAATAAATAATATTGATAGCTATCCTCCTTGTTCAAATCAACCAATTAGGTTACACACACATAAATAGCTCCCGAAGAAGGTAAGAATGGAAACAACAATTCACTAATTTACAAAGTCAGTCAGTCTTTCTCCCTCTCTCTCTCTCTCTAGGATAAATCCCAAACCTTATCAGCCCAGATCTCTGCTCAGTTTGAAGAAATGCACCAGTTCTTACGACAAAAAGAGGATGAGGTGAAGAAACGGTTGAAGGAGGAGGAAAAGAAAGTTATAGAAGTCATGCAAAGGAATCAGTCTTTTATAAACAAAAGATTTATGGAGAATAAAGAAAAGGAGATTATTCTGCAGTCAGCACTGGAGATTGCACAATCCGATCACTTTCTACAGGTTTCAACACATTTGATTACATATTTCTATTCTTAAAAGGTGAAGTTGTTTTGCACTAGAGCAAATGCACATTCGATAATCTGTTAGGACTAGTTTTCAATTAAAGTTTGGTTTTATACTGTAAAACATAAATAAAGCACAAAAGTACTTTTTGATTCTGTTTTTGTCAACAGTGGTGGAATGAAAAAGGATTTCCAATGACAAAAAACATGAAGCAAAAGGACACTGCGAGACCAACAAATAAGTAAATTAACATGCAATGCTGTTATTTAGACCTAAATCACATCAGTCAGTGTTAACATTTCTGTAAAATTGAAGTTTCTGATGCTAAATTCACTTTCTGTTTCAGGTATATGTCAAGGGTGAAAGATCTTACTGTTCTTCCTGATTCTCTCTTTCTTGGCCCCCATGAAACTCACCTGCAGTTCTTTGTGTGGAAGGAGATGCTGCAGTCTATCAAAGCAGGTGAAGAACATGACAAATGTGCATGTTGAAAGTTCAGCTAAATACAAGTGAACCTAGATTTGCATTCCTTCCTTGAACAAAATGCCAGCACTCGCAAAGCAGCAACAGTTTTACATGAATTCTCTGTATTTGCTTTGTTTTCTGTCAGCTGTGATGCTATTTGACCAGATCTGTAAAATTATTCAAAAATATATAATAATAAATTAATATCTAGTTTAATGGAAATCTTCCTCAGAATTCATAATTCAAACAATTCAAACAATTCATGAATAAATAATAAAAAAAAAGTTGTAGAATTTTTAAAGGAAGACACCGACTTTTTGGGACTTTCTGCTCCTCACCACAGTGCGTCTCAGGTGCTGCGGTTACACTCCGCCCAAGCAGCCAAGTGATTCGCCTTCTGAGAATATAGTTCCCAATTTGATCTTGTTATTTGTACACTCTGTGACTATATAAATTACAACATGTAAATAGGAATATGTTTGTGTTATTTTGTCACTTATTGGGATAAGTATGCTAGCTGGAGCCATTTACATCCAGTCTTTGTGCTAAGCTAGGCTAGCGGTGGCGGGTGCGTCAGACAGAGTTACAGCATGCACGGAGATGAAAAGGTATGAATGGACTTACCTGACTCTGGGGATACGGTGAATAAGATAAAGTCCCAAAAATTCGGCTTGTTCCTTTAAGCTGTTCTCTTTCATGGGTTCAGCGTGCTAGCAAAGTATTTCCGTATGTTTAGTGGTTACACCTCTATTAGACATTTTATTGTTGTTAAACTATAGAAATAAAGAATACGTTTCTCAGAACTTGGCACATAGGCAGCAGCTACATAATGATTCAATAGATGTGAATCAACAGGACATTTTCAAACTTTAACCATATTTAAAAAAAAACCCCCAAAAATAGCACAGTTAAGTTGAAATAATAATAAAAAAGGTAAAGTTTTAATGGTGGTTTGGGGAATGAATTGCAAACGTTTCATCTATGCTTATATGTTTAGAACGAAACATAAACAGAATGTTTAATGCAAGATCTACAATAACTTCTCATTCAACAACTGATTCATCATTTAATAATGTTTCTGCCTGTGTCTGTGCTTTAGTTCCTGAGAGTTTAACCCTGAAAAACCCTGGACAGTCATACTTAAAAGTGTCTCCAGGGGGCGCCAGAATCCGACAAGCTGACAGAATGTCTGGTCTGTATAAAGACTTCAACCCAGGTACAGTGTCAGTGGAAAACTTCCAAAGTAGCCAGCACTACTGGGAAGTAGAGGTGGGTAAAAAGCCAGACTGGACTGTGGGAATCAAGATGGGTGAAGAAAAACAGACAACAAAGGCAGACGAGAGTGAGATCCTGCTCCACCTTAAACACAATAAAGGATACGTTCTGTCGTGTGATGGAAAGGACACTGCATTAAGTTTTCGAGACAAACCACAGAAAATAGGGTTGTATCTGGACTGTGAGAGAAAGCAGGTGTCCTTCTATAACGCTGATAACATGTCTCGACTGATCCAGATAAACTACAGCTCAAAACAGCCTTGCTGTCTCAGTGTGGTGCCAGGACTTTATCTGGATGGAATGAATAGTGACCCTCTCACTGTCTGCTCATATGAGTTTAACTCTGGCAGACAGTAATATGCAGTTACTAGACATGATATTGTTAAACAGCTGTGATATCAGACCGACTGATATCTGGGTCATCAAAGATAAGATTAAAAGATAAATGTTTTGATCTTTCCAACTGTTTCTGTAAAATGAAACATCATGATGGCATGAACAAAAATTTAAAGTCCCTGTAAAGTCAAAATTAAATATGTGTTCTGAGTTTGTCACACCACAGAAAAATATGTTAATAGCCACCCAAATTTGAATGATAAAAAAGCCAGCAAGTACATAAAATAAGCTATCACAATCTTGAAAAAAAATCAGTATTATTCTCTGCTCTCAAACGCTGGGGCCGTGTCTGCTGTCTGCGCTGAAACCACGGCCACTCGCAGGAAAGCTGCCAACGCTGAGATTAGGTGATACTGCTTTCGGGATGGGACAGTAGCACCTCAATGCAGTACATGAGATCCACAGGGAGGAGTCGGATCAATATCCAAGGGGTGGAGATGGGTAGGATTAGGGTTGGGTTTAGGGATTAGGGGTGGGTTTAGGCATCAGGGGGCGGAGTTGGGTAGGTTTAGGTGTATGTAAGGTGGGAGTAGGCTACATACTCCCCGTGGATTTCATGTTCTGCAGTGAGAACCATCTCGGATGGAAGGCCGAGCTGGGAGATTGTCGTTTTGGCCCCATTCACCAGTAACAGGATTATCAGTGAATCAGTTGTCTCTGACGAAAGTTTATAAAACGATCCCGTGTAAAATCATCAAGCTCTCTTCATCAAGGTTGGCTCTTCACAAAATTAATCCACTTCTTCTTGATGTGATCGTTTTTAGGAAATTTAAATAAAGACACACAATCTGTTTTGTACATGATCGCATCCAGGTAGCAGCCAACGCATTTCCGTGTCGAAGGCATAGCTAGCCAGCAAAGTATAGACTGTAGTAACCAATAGTATTGACAGTAACTCACGACTGAGCGCCAAACTGATGCGAATGTGCTCTATTATTAGGGGAGGGCCAGCCTCAAGGCCAATTTATACTTCTGCGCCGTAGGGGCATGTCCAGGAGCTCAGGGGCTTCAGTGCGTCATCAAGCCTCACCCAAAAAATCCAGAAATTAGCAATGTTGAAAAACTGTTTAACGGTCTAACTCCACAATACAGTACAGTTAACAGTCTTTGTAATGTTTTAGCTACACATTTCTAAAGTGTATAATGGGTTTCAGCCCATTCTCACCCCATTCTCATCAGTTAAGTGACGCCTTGGGAAGCATTTTGACCATGCTTCAATATCTGACGCTTTAGGCGCCCTTTAGCGTCAGTTAGATGACGCCGTAGGATCGCGTGTAACCCTATCCCCACCCCACACCTAAACCTAACCGCGTCATCTAACTGAATACTTTCTAGAGAGCTAAATACTTTCCTTTAGCGTCAGTTAGATGACGCCGTAGGGTTGCGTCATGTAACTGATGCTAAAGGGCGCCTAAAGCGTCAAATATTGAAGCATGGTCAAAGATGACGCCTTGACGCCATGCGTTGCAGCTGGGTTTAGGGTTTTTTTTTTGCGTTTTTTTTTTTAAATTGCCTTTACAGGGGTTTTAAATGTAGCCTATAGCTTCTTGAAGTTTGTGCAATTCACTCACTGCAATAATGACAACATGGACAGGTGAGAAATATTCATTAATGCTAATTCTTCAAATTAATTTAATGATTGCATGAAGTTTTAACTGAATTTTATTACTATGTGAGAAGTGGGCAATTAACAGTTCTCCTTTTTAATGCTTTTTTCCCAAATTAACTTTCAGTTTTAGATGGCTTATTTCAGCTTATCCAAAGTTATCTAGTCAATAGATATTGTTTCTATATAATAGAGTTGTTTTCTGTTTTTTTATTTTATTTATATTGTTGCTAGATTGACATTCCTAAATTATCCTTAATTTTCTCGAATGCCTTAAATACTTCCCAAAGCTTTTATATTTGAGTTAAATAAACTCAAATAATTTTTCAGCACATATCTGAAGTCCAAAAAAGACGTTTGCAAGTTGTGGGTGGGGATGATAATCATTCATATTTTCTTATTTATTATTTAGAAGGAAACATACAGATTTTATTTTGCTTTGAAATGATCAGTGAACAAATAATAATAAGAAGAAAAACATTACAAAAAATCTGTACATATGTCATGATAGTTAACAGACCCATGTGTCATCATTTAAAATTGACTTTTGAAACATTTAAAAAGCCTTCTGTAAAAAGTTTAAAGATTAGAGGAAATAAAAGTTAGAAATGTGAAATCACCCTTATTATGATTTCTGTATGTGGCAATAAACATTCATGTTTATTAAGGTCACATATTTTTGCTTACATAATTTGTATATGGAGCACTGGAAAATAAATCTTGCCTGTTGTTTGTAAAGTGTGTTTTATTCTAATACTGTAGGCATCTCTATTTCCTCTGGGTGGTGTAAGTCCTTCCTCCCTACAAAATAATTAAATACAATTTACTGACTGCAACTTTTTTTACCATGATCACAGAATTACAGATCAATGTGAATCATCAGATTCTGTGTCGCTCAAAACTCACCAGCTCTTCTTGCACAGATGATCTGAAGAAGAATCACAGTCGGAGCAGTAAACGCTGCAATCTTAAATATATTTACAATCTCTACAGAAAAGATGTGTGGACACGGACAAATGAAAGAATAGAGAAAAAGAAGAGAATGAATATGTAAAACTGTAAATTACTTTGAAAATACAAATCGGGATACAAAACAATGAACAATCATTTACAAATCATTCACAAAAGAAAACAAAACATGTAAAGACTTTTCATACCTCTGAATATTGATCCAGCAGCCATACAGACTTCATTATCTGATGTTGTGTTAGCTGGACCTGTGGATCATGTCTGTTAGTTCAGTTCAAATATAATGTAAACACTGGAATGTAGAATATCTATGAATTGCCAGCATCTAAATCAAATAGTAGAGCGTTGGTGCTTGCATCGCCAAGGTCATGAGTTTGATTCCCAGGGAAAGCAAGAACTGATAAGAATGTAAAACTGCAATGTAAGTCGCTTTGGATAAAAGTGTTTGCCAAATACATAAAATAAATATGTATGAAGACATTTTAGATGCAAATATGCAACAAATTATGGAATTAATAATTTTATTTATAGCTTTCATTGTGGTCTGATCAATTGTGACAAATTGGCGAGGTGAGAGACTGATGATGTGTGTCAGTCTTGTACCTTGTGTCAAATCTGCTGCTGCTGTAGTTCTGCTTGATTTCTTCTCATAGTTTGAGTTGCTGACTGTAGTCATTGTTGTTGAATCCACTGGAGCTGCACAAGATGATGTTCAGATGCAGGACATCAGCATCATATTTTCATACTCAATCATTACATCACATGACCTGACATGCTGTTTGTTTAATCGTCATTATTTACAGTGAAGAGAGTTGTTACCATATAACCACATGAGGCATTTTAGGCCTCATTTATTTATATAAAAGTAAAACAAAGTGAGCTGCAGCTCATAAATCTTCAGCATGTCCTGTAATGTCTCAGAGAGTATTCTAAAAATAATTAAAGAAATTAAGTTTTTTTTTCAAACCTGAAATCTTGACAGTGTATGTGGCTGAGGTCTTCAGTTGATTACTCTGAGTAACCTGACATCTAAACTCTCTGTTGGGATCTTCATTTAGGAGTTTTGTAGTCAGAGAGCTTTTACAGTATGATGTTGAGAATGATATCTGATATCTGGAGTCTGTCAGCAGATTCACACCAGCCTGATTCACCCAGATCAGCTGAAGTCCCTCCGAACGGACCAAAGTATCACAAGAGACTCTATATAAATACAACTGACAGGAGAGAGTCACAGAGCCTGATGATCTGATCTCAGTCTCTGAGGATGATGAAAAGACTGAAATAGAAAATAAAATAGAGTCACTCTTTTCATTACACATGTGAGTTTTAAGGTATTATTTGAGAAATTACAGAAACACTGACTATGAAGAACATGCAGATTAACGGGTGCATCAGTTCCTTGTTGTTGTCCATTCACATATTGTCGGCAGGTGTAAAGCCCATAATCTTCATGTGTGACTTTCTTGATGTTCAGAGAGCAGTCAGACCCCACACTCAGCCTCTCGCGTCTCTCTATGTTATTCTTTCTCCCTCCAGCAATCAGTTCAACGGTCTCTGAATGTTTGTTATTATTATAGCTCCATGTATTTGATGTGCAGTCAGAAAGAGCGTTATTACAGGGCAGACTGACACTTTCACCAGAACTGCTGAACACTTCTGCTCCACTGGTACCTATTTTAATATAAAACAGTAACATAATAGTGTTAATTATTTAAACTTTAATGACAGCAAATATTTTCTTGAATATTAAAAACTGAATAACCTAAATTTTCAGCAAGATAAAACCTTGTTCGCTCAGTCGAACTCTCTGCCAGTCTCTATACGAAGTAATTCAATTATTTTTGAACAGATGTTTGTTCACATTATACAGATTTTGCATAATGTCTTATAGACCATATAAATATTTCTTTACCTGTCAGAAGTGGACAGAGAATGATCAGTTGCAGCAGACACATGTGACACCGATCAGCCATTTTCTGTTTCTATTTCTTTTCATTATATAGTTACAGTTCTTCAAACATCATCAGCCCAGCCAGTGTTTGTTAACTTCCTCTTATCAACTGACTGTTCAGTGCTGACACTATGATACAGCTGCATTTCACTGACAATATACTGGTGCATGAGAAAGAAGCATTGTTTGGTTTCTTAGCGAGAGGCCACTGAATCTCAAATTTGTACGGCAACTAAGAAAAATGGGCTAAAAATAACAGATAAAGGTAATTTATTAGTTGTGTTTCTTCAAAAATTGAATGTAATTAGTATTGTAAAAACTGTTCTATCGGTTACGGTTCCTATTATTACTATTCTTATTCATCCATCTTCTTCCGACTGGGCATCTATGGCAGCCCATAGAACCGCTTACAGGAAAATTGTGAAATTTGGCACAATAAGAGAGGTCAGTCCAAAATGTCACCATAACAAATTTGGCGTCTCAAAACCAATCCCACTAGTGCCACCACCTGTCCAAATTTTCACTCATATTTATGTGAATAACTTTTGAACCGTAATGGGTAGAAAAAAATTCACATTGATTTGTCAAACCGTTCTTGAATACCACTATATTTAGTCAGCCACTGATTGTGCAAGTTTTTAGTCAGCCACTGATTGTGCAAGTTCTCCTACTTACAATGATGAGAGAGGTCTGGAATTTTCATCATAGGTACACTTCAACTATGAGAGACAACATGAAAAAAAAAATCCAGGGAATCACTTTGTAGAATTTTTAAAGAATTTATTTTTATATTATGGTGGAAAATAGGTATTTGGTCAAAAACAAAAGTTCAGCTCAATACTTTGTTACACAACCTTTGTTGACAACATTTCCTGTAAGTCTTGACCAGGTTTGCACACACTGTAACTGGTATTTTGGCCCATTCCTCCATCCAGATCTCCTCTAGAGCGGTGATGTTTCGGGGCTGTCGATGGGCCACCCGGACTTTCAACTCCCTCCACACATTTTCTATGGGGTTGAGGTCTGGAGACTGGCTAGGCCACTCCAAAACCTTGAAATGCATTTCACGGAGCCACTCCTTCGTTGCCTGGGTGGTGTGTTTGGGATCATTGTCATGCTGGAAGATCCAGCCACGTTTCATCTTCAAGGCTCTCAATGATGGAAGGAGGTGTTTGCTTAAAATCTCACGATACATGGCCCTGTTCATTCTTCCCTCAACACGGATCAGTTTTCCTGTCCCCTTTGCAGAAAAACAGCCCCAAAGCATGATGTTTCCTCCCACATGCTTCACTGTATGGTGTTCTTGGGACGCAACTCTGCATTCTTCTTCCTCCAAACACGACGAGTTGAGTTTTTACCAAAAAGTCCACATGATATACCACATGAGATTCTCCCAATCCTCTTCTGGATCATCCATATGCTCTCTGGCAAACTTCAGACATGCCTGGACATGTACTGGCTTAAGCAGGGGGACACGCCTGGCACTGCAGGATTTGAGTCCCTCTCGGTGTAGTGTGTTACTTATGGTAGCCTTTGTTACTTTGGTCCCAGCTCTCTGCAGGTCATTCATCAGGTCCCTCCGTGTAGTTCTGGGATTTTTGCTCACCGTTCTCATGGTCCTTTTGACCCCACGGGATGAGATCTTGTGTGGAGCCCCAGATCGAGGGAGATTATCAGTGGTCTTGTATGTCTTACATTTTCTTACAATTGCTCCCACAGTTGATTTTTTCACACAAAGCTGCTTGCCTATTGTAGATGCACTCTTCCCAGCCAGGTCTACAATTTTCTTCCTGGTGTCCTTCGACAGTTCTTTGGTCTTGGCCATGGTTGAGTTTGGAGTTTGACTGTTTGAGGCTGTGGACAGGCATCTTTTATACAGATAACGGGTTCAAACAGGTGCCATTAATACAGGTAATGAGTGGAGGACAGAAGAGCTTCTTAAAGAAGTTACAGGTCTGTGAGAGCCAGAAATCTTGCTGGTTTGTGGGTGAACAAATACTTATTTTCCACCATAATTTACAAATAAATTCTTTAAAAATCCTACAAAGTTAATTTCTGGATTTTTTTTTCTCATTTTGTCTCTCATAGTTGAAGTTTACATATGATGAAAATTACAGACCTATCTCATTATTCTAAGTAAGATAATTAGCACAATCAGTGGCTGACTAAATACTTTTTGGCCCTACTGTATCTCGAATCCTTCCCCAATCAAACAAGCACGAAAAAGGGAAAATGAACAATCGCCTATAAAGAAAAAATTCAAGGATTCTGCCAACTCCAAGGAAGAACTCGATGCAGATATTGTTAACGGCATAAAGCTGGCCCTCCAAGAACCACAACATGCTCTAGATGTGGCCGTAGCCTCCGCTGTCAGGGAAGCTATCCTGGTCCCAGCACTACGTGATTTAAGAATCGAAATCCAAAAGACTAATGAAACCGTAAAGGAGATCAGCAGTGAAATGAGAATGTTAGCCAAATCTACTTAGTTTTAATTATGTAATGTCTTAGAGAGTATTCTAAAAATAATTAAAGAAATTAAGTTTTTTTTTAAAACCTGAAAACTTGACAGTGTATGTGGCTGAGGTCTCCAGTTGATTTCTCTGAGTAACCTGACATCTAAAGTCTCTGTTGGGATCTTCATTCAGGAGTGTTGTAGTCATAGAGCTGATACAGTGTGGTGTTGAGAATGATATCTGATATCTGGAGTCTGTCAGCATCAGATTCACACCAGCCTGATTCACCCAGATCAGCTGAAGTCCCTTTGAACGGTCCAAAGGATGACAAGAGACTCCATCTGAATACAACTGACAGGAGAGAGTCACAGAGCCTGATCTGATCTCAGTCTGTGAGGATGATGAAGAGACTGAAACAGAAAATAAGACAGAAATTACACCTCAAATATCACTCTTTTCATGTGAGTTTTAAGGTATTATTTGAGAAAATACAGAAACACTGACTATGAAGAACATGCAGATTAACGGGTGCATCAGTTCCTTGTTGTTGTCCATTCACATATTGTCGGCAGGTGTAAAGCCCATAATCTTCATGTGTGACTTTCTTGATGTTCAGAGAGCAGTCAGACACTCAGTCTCTCAAGTCTCCCTATCATTCTTCTTTCTCCCTCCAGCAACGGTCAACGGTCTCTGAATATTTGTTCTTATTATAGCTCCATGTATTTGATGTGCAGTCAGAAAGAGCGTTATTACAGGGCAGACTGACACTTTCACCAGAACTGCTGAACACAGTTACGTCAGTCATACCTGAAACACAGTACATACTTTACTTATAATATATTAAAAGAGAAAATTAAAAAACCTGGGTTAATTACTTAACCCTTAATGAGTCTGTACAAATACAAAGCATGTCTTGAATGAGACACAAATAAGAACATTTTTTGTCCTGTTTTAATCAGGAAATGAACTAATCTAGACAATGTGAATACCACTAAAATACATGTAGCAGTTCACTCCAAAACACTTAATTACTCATGTGCTTTCAAACCTGTAGCCTATGCATTTCATAAATATATTTTCAACAGTTTTTATCCATCTAAACTGGGGTCCCAAAAACTGGATTTTTTTTTGTTGCAAAATTTATTTTATTTTTTGCTTCACTGAATAAAGAAAGTCATAGATTTGAAAGTGAGTAAAGGATGACAGAAATTTCTATGTGAACTATAATTCCCTCAACATGAAAGTGGGAAAGGACATAATATTTGTCAGAGGATTCTATAATAAAACAATATACCATAGATCCAACAATATACCAAGTCCATAATAAATATACATCTTTAGCCAGACCCTATGCCAGAGTAATACAAATAAAAATGATTCTTAATAAATTGATAATCAAATTATGCAGATGAATTTTTTATATATATATATATATACCGTTACCTGTTAGAAATTGACAGATTATTACAATTTCCAGTAGACATATTTGACACATTTTCTCTTTTTAACGATCTTCTGACAATCCTTCCTCTTATCTGACGTGTTTAGTAGATTCTCACTATACAGCATTTCACTGTCTGTTGGAAGTGTGTAATGGAGAAGTGTGTCATGTGTCACATGAATTTTGGTAGTGGTCGGCAAGACTGATTAATCAGCCGATATTTATCATTTTTGAATATTGGATGGATACATTTTCTGTTTGGTCGATGTGTGGGAAGAGGTTTTATATTTTCTTGCTCCGTCTATGGTATCTGTTTAAATACATTATTTAGATGTAGATGTAAAACCAAGTAAACAGTAAACTCAAAGTATTATAACATTTGCTTTTATGTTATTTGTCATTAAAAGGCAAACACTATAATCATTGTGGTACTCGTTTACCATCAACATTCAACAAATGCACTTTTATATACTTTAAACAAATCTTTGAATGTCTAATAAATATTTAATTTCAAAACCTTGCAGACTTGGTCAAATTCAGCTGAGTATCATTTTCATGTGTGCTGTTGCTGTACAGCCCATTTTCACCCCCAAGGCGTCACCTAACTGACGCCTTGGGAAGCATTTGACCATGCTTCAATATCTGATGCTTTAGGCGCCCTTTAGCGTCAGTTAGATGATGCCCTAGAATCGCGTGTACCCTACCCCCACCCCAGACCTAAACCTAACCGCGTTCTCTAACTGACGCTTTCCTTTAGCATCAGTTAGATGACGCCGTGATAAAGGGCGGCAAAGGCATCAAATATTGAAGCATGGTCAAAGGTGATGCCTTGGGGTGAGAATGCGTTGGCCATTAGCAATAGCTGCATCGAGTTCTTCCTTGGAGTTGGCAGAATCCTTGAATTTTTTTCTTTATAGGCGATTGTTCATTTTCCCTTTTCTGTGCTTATTTGATTGGGGAAGGATTTGGGATAGGTGTTGAAGAATGTGATAGGATTATTGAAAAAATAAGGTTATGTGAGCAGAGCTGAAAACTATGCTGGCATCGCTGTGGATGAGACACGTGATCCTCCAACGAGACCACTTTTTTGATTTTTGGACAAACCGTTCAGAAGTTATCAGCAAAAATATAATTTTTCATATCTCTGGACCAGTAGTTGGCACTGTGCCAAAAAGCTCCATGTCGCCTCAGGTCATGCTTGTGTTGACATGTACCAAATTTGGTCTGAATACGATAAAGCGGCGCGGAGATACAGCCTTATGTCTGTTTTCGCAAGCACTGCGTAAAATAGCTTTCGTGAAATTCGAGAACGGTTTGACAAATCACCGTGAATTTTTTGGTTTTTTAACCTTTTGTCGGCATGACCTGGAGATGATCTGTTTAAATTTTCCTGAAAATTGGAGCATCGGTCTAGGAGGAGTTTTTATGACGGAAAAAGTCATAGTGCAATCGAATCGTCATGAGCTCAGAAATCAGAGGGGGGAAAAAATTTATTTTGTTTCAACTCATTACAGTTCAATAGTTATTCACAAAAATATGAGTGAAATTTTTGGACAGGTGGTGGCGCTATTGGGATTGGTTTTTGAGATGCCAAATTTACTATAGTGACAGTTTGGACTGACCTATCAGTGTGTAAAAATTCACAATTTTCCTGTAAACGGTTCTATGGGCTTCCATAGATGCCCAGTCGGAAGAAGAAGGATGAATAATCATAGTAATAGGAACCAGAACAGATATAATAGGGGGCTCCGCACCTTCGGTGCTTAGCCCCTAATTACATTCAATTTTTAAAGAAACACAACTAATAAATGACCTTTATCTTTAGCCCATTTTTTTTCAATATTCTTTAACAAACAAATTAAACTGCTTTAAACAACATATATTTATAGATGCTTTTTTTTATCATGTATGGTGTCAGTGAAATGCAGCTGTATCATAGTGTCAGCACTGAACAGTCAGTTGATAAGAGGAAGTTAACAAACACTGGCTGGGCTGATGATGTTTGAAGAACTGTAACTTTATAATGAAAAGAAATAGAAACAGAAGATGGCTGATCGGTGTCACATGTGTCTGCTGCTACTGATCATTCTCTGTCCACTTCTGACAGGTAAAGAAATATTTATATGGTCTATAAGACATTATGCAAAATCTGTATAATGTGAACAAACATCTGTTCAAAAATAATTGAATTACTTCATATAGAGAGACTGGCAAAGAGTTCGATTGAGCGAACTTGGTTTTATCTTGCTGAAAATTTAGGTTATTACTTCAGTTTTTAATATTTAAGAAAATATTTGGAGGAAGTATAAAACACTATTATTTTACTGTTTTATATTAAAATGTAGGTACCAGTGGAGCAGAAGTGTTCAGCAGTTCTGGTGAAAGTGTCAGTCTGCCCTGTAATAACGCTCTTTCTGACTGCACATCAACTACATGGAACTGTAATAATAACAAACATTCAGAGACCATTGAACTGATTGCTGGAGGGATAAAGAATAACATAGAGAGACGCGAGAGGCTGAGTCTGGGGTCTGACTGCTCTCTGAACATCAAGAAAGTCACACATGAAGATTATGGGCTTTACACCTGCCAACAATTTGTGAATGGACAACAACAAGGAACTGATGCACCCGTTAATCTGCATGTTCTTCATAGTCAGTGTTTCTGTAATTTCTCAAATAATACATTAAAACTCACATCTGTAATGAAAAGAGTTATTCTATTGTATTTTCTGTTTCAGTCTCTTCATCATCCTCACAGACTGAGATCAGATCAGGCTCTGTGACTCTCTCCTGTCAGTTGCATTTATATAGAGTCTCTTGTGATACTTTGGTCCGTTCGGAGGGACTTCAGCTGATCTGGGTGAATCAGGCTGGTGTGAATCTGATGACAGACTCCAGATATCAGATATCATTCTCAACATCACACTGTATCAGCTCTATGACTACAAAACTCCTGAATGAAGATCCCAACAGAGAGTTTAGATGTCAGGTTACTCAGAGTAATCAACTGAAGACCTCAGCCACATACACTGTCAAGATTTCAGGTAAATTGTTATTATTTATAATGTTATTAACTTGTTACTAATTTTTAACTGCAATTATCATCATTAAAAAAAGTTATATTCTACAGTATGACAGTGAGTCTTTTACAGCTCCAACAAAGACACTGACTACAGTCCCCAGCTCGAAGACAACCCCAACTGTAAATAAACCAGTAACTTCTACACAACCAGGTATGTCACTCATGTCACCGAGAATACAAATCAATAAATAAAATTTACATGAAATCATAATGTGAAAAGTGACTCTTTTATCTCGTCAATCCAAAACAATCGTGTCTGTGTTTACTAAAAAGCATTTAGTAAACATACAATATACCGTTGTTAGCAAGTGTGAAATAAAATGTATTTTATTTGTTTGTCAGTACTTGTGGCTTTTACATTTTGGTTTGAAATGACAGTTATATATAGTAAACGTTCTGCTGCTGTTTTCATCTGGATCTGAGTGTCCCTCTTCATTGTCTCTCCTCTAGAGATTGTGATTGTTGCCGTTTCTGCTGTATTGGCTGTTCTCCTTCCTGCTCTTATTCTTTGTGTGGTTTGTAAAAAAAGAGGTGGTGAGTTTTGAATTTAAGCTCATATTTTGTGTCAACAGACAAAGTTCAAAACATCCAAAGAATATACAAAGATCAGTTATCATATAGATATTAATTTGGAAAGATGTGATTATAAAAATGTTGACCTGTCTATAGCTTGAACTAACCTATAGTTTGTGACAATTCGCTAATTTGAAATTTGTGCACTCTTTGAAAATTAAAATTTGGTCATCATTTACTAACCCCGATGTTCTTCCGAACACGTATGGCTTTCTTCTGTTAAATGTCAAAGAAGATATTTTGAGAAATGTATTTTTGTTTGTGTGTTTGTCCTTACAATGGAAGTCAATGGTAACCAAAACTGTTTGTTTACCAACATTCTTCAAAATGTCTTATTCTTTTGTTTTTGACATGACATTAGGATAAGTTAACAATGACAGCATTTTCATTTGAGGGCAATGAACCATTTAAAAAGACAAATATAGTGTTTATATTCTACAGCATTATAAAAAAAAAATACAATCAATTATCAGTCTGCATTAATTAATGACATGCTGTATTTTACTCTTCTTTTTGTGATAATTATTCCTCAGATATAAAAAGAGAGACTAATGACTCTGTGGTAAGTATCATGGCAAAGAACTGTGAGGTTGATCCATAAGCTAATTTTTATCTATAGGCTTGACTGTCCAAGATGTGTACTGTTTTACTCGCATTAGATTAACACAAGAGCAAAATATCAATTTAGAATATTGTTTCTTGTAAGGTCACAAATATGAATAAATATAATGGAACCAAGGATACAATCAACATCTCCATTCATCATACTGCCAGCGCCAATGTAAGTGAACCATATGATTCATCTTCAATAAGCTATTCATATCTGTATACCGTATGTACATTACAATTGTTACACAGCTATTCACCAACACTGCAATGTAGGCCTACTTTTTTATTGTTTCTTGAGGTTCACTTATTGTGTTAAAGTTTTTGAAAAAAAAAAAAATATATATATATATATATATATATATAATATTATATAATTATATATAAATATATATATTATTTTCAGTCATCAATCTGGCCAGGTCTAAAATTATTATATTATACAATTTTGTTTTTTTAGGGGAGGTTCCTTTAAGGCTGGTCAGTATCGGATTAAGATATAGAACAATATATATGTACGTTGTGAATTTTTTAAACTATGAAAATTGCAGGATGTTTTTTTGGATTAAAAAACATGGATTGGATCAACATTGGATTTCTCATGAAACCTGAAGTGTCTCAACACTCTCTTATGTGTGAAACTATTTTCATACACCACAGATTCAGGATGCTGGCCTAATTTAAAAGATGTGCTCAATTCTAATTTGAATAAGTCACATTTTAAATAGCACTGACGTCTTGGGCTTTTTAATGATAGAATTATCCTTTTTCAATAATGAATATGTTTATTACAAAATAAGAGTAACTTATTTTAGCCACAATATTTCCAGGTTTTTACGAGGTCACAAAAAAACACAGAGCAGCAGAGGTTTTCTGTTGTGACCTCGTCGGCATTTTAATCACTTGAATAAATAATTCAATGACTCACTCACTCAAGTGTGGATATCTGCAGGAAGGAGTAATGAGCAAGCCAAAAGGTATCGCTTTGCGCTCTTTGCAAAAAGGTCTTTACGATTGGTAGGGCTAGGAGTTCATTTCTGTTGTAGCATTGTGTAGGCTATCTTTCAGCACGCCATTTTCCCGATCAGCAGTTATCCCTGTCTCGCAGTCGCACCTTCACCCGATTTAATCAAGGGGGTAATCCATCAGCTGGAAGTTGAAGCCTAGCAGGAGCCGCCATTGTAGCAGAACTTCACCTGCTGTTAGCATTCCATTGACTCCCATTCATTTTGGCGTCACTTTGACAGTGAATAACTTTACATCTGAGGCGTCCAAAGACTCCATTTGTCTATTATTTATTTATAAAGAAACGAGACAATGTACAAAAGGCTCCATTCCTTGTATCTTACATTATGGCCCCATAGAAGCAGTTTTTGTAAAAATAGGCTAAAGATTGGGTCACAACGAATCGACTCTCCATCACACAGTAGAGAAATTACAGTATCGGGAGGAGAAGCTCGCAGGCAATCAATAAAGTCTGATAAAGTCGAGGGAGAAGCCCATAGAGAGTCATTAAAGGGTTAGTTTACCCAAAAATGAAAATTCTGTCAGTATTTAATCACCCTCATGTAGTTCCAAACATCTATGTGTTTATTTGTTCTGCTGAACACAAAGGAAGATATTTGGAAGAATGTTTTAATCAAACAGATCTCAATCCCCATTGACTTCCACAGTAGGAAAAAAATACATACTATGGTAGTCAATGGGGATTGAGATGTTTGATTAAAACATTCTTCCAAATATCTTCCTTCGTGTTCAGGAGAACAAATAAACACATAAAGGTTTGGAACAACATGAGGGTGAGTAAATACTGACAGAATTTTCATTTTAGGGTGAACCAACCCTTTAAACTGATCCTCATGGTCTAATACTCACTCTCTCCTCTCTGTGAGATTCGGAAGGGAATTATTCAGATTTCACTCGCCACAGCCACTAGAAGACATACAGGTTGCTCACGTGCGCAGTACGCCTGGCTATCAGCTTTTAACAGGCTTCAATTTTCTCAGTTGAAATCAATGGGGTCGCTGTGTCCATTTCTTTTACTGTCTATGGATTTAATGTACAGAATTCAGAGTTACTGAAAAAAACCCCACCAAACAGACAAGCAAAGTAACACAATCAGTAAAAGTCATGTTACAAATATGAGATGTTTACAAAACCTGTAAGTGAAAATGCCACATGACACAACATATTTTGCAGCACATATTTCAAACATTTGCAGCAGCAGCATAACAATAAGCCTACTTTTCAAAGTATTTGAAAAAAAGATTTTGTACTTTAGTTCACCATGTTTCCGCTGATGTTTAGGAGCAGAAAGACGTGATTTATACGGAGATATACACATTCAGTAAAAACCAAGACAAAAATAACAAGGTGGGTAAACACTTATTTGCACTTCCACCATCTTCTCTCAAAACTGACAATATCTGTGATGTTCATTCAGGTTCATGGAGATGATAAAGTGACTTACGCGTCCATCAGAGGAGCAACAGCTGGACTTCAGGATTACTGCAGTCAACTTTAGGCCTCTGTGAACAGGAACCGTCACAAAAACTGAATTAAATATACAAAATACTTCATGATGTCATGAGGATAGAAATGCTTATAATTGACTTTGTTAACATGTTGATATGGTAAATACTGTTCCCTTTCAGTCGGTCACGTTCAACGCCACATCGGAGTGATTCGACTGTATAGCGTTCCTATACCGCACCTAAACCTACCCATTACATGGGCTTAGACAAATCATAAGAATTCATACGAGTGAGATAGGCATTCGCCACATTTTAATCCTCCTCGTACAGATTTGTAGGAAATAGTCGTGAGATAGCGTTGGTCTTTCACATGTTAACAAACAAACTCAAGTACCGGTAATCATATTTGTAAGACTACGTTTTTTTTTTTGTTGTTTTTTTTCCAGAGTAACTGTTTTTGTTGATCAAGACAACAGGTTTAAATAATAAATCATTCCAAATCTTCCATTTTCTCTTTCTCTATTTGTTTTCCACCTTCATTCTTCAGTAACTGTTTTTAATACTCATAGGCTACTGTTTCACGTACAACATCCTAATGCATTACTAATGCAGAGATGATCGATGACTAATGAGAAGTGTTCGACTCAGCAGAGCTAAAGAGGAAGCGTGTTGTGAAATTCTGCACTGCCAGCTGAACATATTTCCGGTTATTAAGTAGGGTACAAAGGCACACCCTAAGATTTTTTTTACTACTTCCAGTGTATGATTGCATAAAAACAATTTGTATGATTTTATTGAACATTAATGAAGCAACAGATTTTGTGTGAAAATAAATCATAAAAGATTTTAAAATCTTACAAATGTAAGAGATGTCAAGGTCACCTTTTACCACACACACATTTATTATCATGTTAATTACTGCACCTTTAGAACCAATGCCTTTCACCCCAAATGCCATGTTTTTACTCTAAGCTTTAGTTTTACTTAAGACGTCCAAGACAAATGTTGTTGCTTATAGATATTTTTCTGTCTCTTTTTTTTTCATATAAGCTAACAAGTATAAATACGATTCCCAGAGCTATTCTGATTCATTTGAAATGTGGTCAGTTAACTGCTGGCTGTTTGTGACTCAACAACATTTTTCATGAACTCACAATAAGTATTATTTTTAGCCATGTGAGAACCAAGCATCACAACACAAGACGACATTTTTGATCTTTGGAGAACTTTAATTCAAATTGCGACAAAAGAACAATTTTGTCTGTTTTTATAAACTTGACCAACAAAAGCAAATTTACACAGTAGCATACAATGACAATCACAAATCCATGAGTTAAAGAAAAAAAAGAAAAGAACTTAGATCTTCATTTTTAAAACTACATATATAAAAGAAGAGCAAAAGATTGACTAAGCAAAACATTAGAGATTGCCATATGTATGTAAAAAAGAAATGACTGTTTGCTGTAAGGATTGCATAAACCATAGTGATAGTTGTCATGGGCCCTTTTGGGGTTTAAGGTGAAACTCTGAGAAGCAGGACAGTTGGACGCATGAGTACATACACTTTTTTAATTACTTCAGTAAGTTCCTGAACAAATTTATCTTCATCTAGTGTCTGCTAAGTTCTTAGGAGTAGCACAGACCTTACTGGACAAATACAACTTCCAGGAGCTCCAAGTACGTGTTCACTGGTACGTCTAAGATAGGAGGCACCTTTAGTCCGTGTGTGAGCATTACAGCAGTCGTCCTCTGCATTCTGTAGATCCACAGCAGCACAGAAGCTCCTTGCCCTCTACACTGCCAACTTCATAATTATAATCCCATGTCAGCTCCGTCCCTGCTCGGATTCGCCTGAAGAAACACACAGGTTAATAAAAAAGAAAATTAAATGTACATGCAGCCAAATAATCTGTTAATATTTCAACTAATAGCTAAAGCAGAAAACCTTCATGTAAACACCTAATTAGAAAGAAAAAAAATGTCTTGCACCAATCTTATATAGTGTACATATTAAAATGATCTGTAAAATTAAGAAACTACTCAACTAAAACTAATGAATCCAACTACTTAGAATATTAACATCAATAGTTTTTGATGACGAAAAACTGCACATATACAGTATGTAAAAGACATAAAAGCAAGAAAAAAAGGTGTTATGTCTGATAACACAGATGGCCTGTTTTAAAATTCTGTATAACTTCAATTCACATTTAGCATTAAAAATGATTAATTTTAGGCATCACAACACTATAATGTACAGTATAAAAAATAGATATTCATTGAGATGTGCATTTAAATTATTAGTGTTTTTAAAGAGTAACTTTAAGTATGCATCAGATGGCGACAACAGTAATAAAAATGTGAAAATAAAGAAAATGAGCTGTACAATTAAAAATCCAATATCCGTCTATATCGATAAAAACAAACTTCAGCTGATAACATATTCAATAAATTATTCCTAATTTAAATGCACAAAAAACACAGTGATGTCATGCTCACTTGCTAGCAAAGAAGGCCACCCAGGGGAAGCGTAGATCATGAGTGTCCACAAACACGTTCTGGACGAACAGATTAGGGCTGCAGCTATGCTGTGGGACAAAGACAGCAGAAGAGAGGATATATACACAGCAGCTGAGAACTATCATCGACTTTAAAATCAAGTAATGAATCCTTAGACTTTTGATTCCAATGAATAAATTCAAATGTCAAATAGAGGTCTGTATCTGGAATTGTACTCACATTGAGGTAGCGTCCGAGGTTGCCTTCCAGTTTGGCATCGATGATGTAACAGGATTCCTCCCCGTCAAAGAACAGGCGGGTGTTTCTATGGCCACCTTCACCCCCGCCACCTCCCAGTCCATGAGACGGGCCTGACCCACGAGTTGGGCCTGACCCACCTCCTCCTGCACCCCCTCCCCCCGTTTTCACCATCATACCGTGGGACTTCAAAGCAATGCCACGAGTGGACTTCACCGCCACCTGCCTCTTCACCACCGCTGAGAGACAGAGAGATCGAACAATGTTCTATATAATGGCTTGTTACAGGGACTTAATGAATGTAAGACTATCTGACCTTCTGTTTGAGCTAATTCAGGTTTCACAGCACACCTGCACAACAAGATGAGCATCTAATCTCATAATAAAGATGTTTCTGCTCATCCACCACTAGAACATGCGGATTCAGTCAGCTAACTGAAGGTTGGCAATGGTTACACTGATATAAGGAAGTCCATGCATGAGAACAAGCAATTTGCCATTTCTTCCATCTCACCCTGAGTCTTTTTCTCTCTCTCCTTGTTGTCATCTGATCCTGAGCTGATCGTTTGCACATCATCACTGTCAGAGAGGGTCATCACATCCTAAACAAAAGACAGATAGAGATTATAATAAGAGGTGGGAGGGAGGGAGAGAGAGAGCATCCGAGTGAAACAGACAAATAGCAACAAAGAGACAGAAACGAGACATTTCATTTCAAGTAAAATTGGACACAGACTGCATGAAAAACTGCACTCACCTTCTTCTCTGTCTTAACCGCTCCCTCCACCTTGACACTCGGATTCGCAGAAGTGGAGGATTGATTGGTGAGCCAAGATGCTACTTTACTCTTCCCGGTCTCCTCTGGCATGGGAGGGGGCTTCCTCTCCTCGCCTGCAGAAACACTCAGCCCATCCTTACTGTCCTGACTCTCTACAGCAAAGACAGAGAATGGTGGAAAAGTGAAATATTCAATAAAACCAACATATTTGTATAATATATTAATAGAAAAATATACTATGGTGAATGTGTCCTCAACAGTTAATAATAATAATTATTATTATTATTAAATGTTCAAGACACATTCATAATTTAACATATGGTAATAACAATTATAATAAAACTAATAATAAATATTACATATAAGAATAATACATATTAGAAATTTCACCACAACAATTAAATGTATTGGATTATATATTACATAATATGATATCATTATTTTTATTATCATTGTTAACCGTTCAAGACACATTTTACCACAAAAACAAAATACGGAATTTATTTTTATAATTTAATATATAAAATAATGATATGAAAATCAGAAAGCAATAATAAATATTATTAGTAGTAGTAACTGTTCAAGACATTTCACATGAAAACTTTATAGGGCTCAGTATCGTAAAAATGTTCTTGATATCGATACCTTGAATTCAATACCGGTTCCTAAACGATACTTTTTGAGATACCAATTTTATGAAAATAAAATCAGTTTTAACAACATTACATTAACTAAAAAAAAAACTAAAAAAAAAAAACTTTGTAAAAACAGTAAACAAACTGAAAAAATATTTTTTTCATATTCTAAATCTGTAAAAAGCACCAATGCTAAAGTGTTCTATGTATCCTAATCATTTAACAACATGAGGTTGTTGTTTCTTAAATGTTATTGAAATGCATTACATAAACACGGTCACCACCTCTGATAACAGATCACTCTAAATTGCAATTTAGACATGTTTTTTGTAAAGCTGTTTTGAAACTATATGTATTGTGAAAAATGCTATACAAATAAATGTGAATTGAATGAAATATAGACTACTGGGAGCGGAATATATGCCTCGCGCTCAGCACACAAAGCTTGCCGCAAAGCAATTACAAAAGTAGCCTAATGATTATAAATGTGTTGTGAAAAAATAGCAAAGGTTACATTTTAATTGTTTATTAATAAACTAGTGTTTTCTGAGGCTATGTTTACACGGAAACGATTCTGAAGAGAAAACGCAAAAGTGGCGTTGCGTCATCACTTTTTATTCTGCGTTTAGACGAGCGTTTTATGTGGGAAATCCGCGTGCAAATGGTGACGCAAAAGTGTGTGAAATTCAATGTAGTATGCACTCCAGGCGGCTAGGAGTGCATACTACAACAACACCAAGTCCACGCGCCTGCGTACAACCTTCACTGTCAAGCAGACTTTTGCGTTTTTACCGTTTACACGGGAACACGGCTAGGGTGACCACCCGTCCCGCGTAGCGCGTGCGCGCACAGCGTTTGAGGCCCAATTCATGCGTCCCGCAAATTGAGACCGCGTCACGCATAATCAATGCTTGCTCAAAAAAAGTCGGTCACTCTTTATCCTCGAGACGCAGGCAGCCAAACGTTGTGCCTGAACACGTTCACGTTCATGAACTTGTTCATATTTTGGGTGAACTGAACGTATATTGTTTAACTGCCTGTCTTGATGAACGTGTGAACTCGTTCATTCTGGTGTCTCTGAACGCACGCTCTCTCAGTTTAACTTCATTCAATCGGGTGCCAGATTTCTATAGAGCCTTCCAGGCGAACACCCTGCTAAAACTCACCGTAAACAGGGCTCAATATGTAGCGAAAAAACACCCAATCTGGCAACACAAGCCACCAGTGTCGCACCGCGGCCGCCGTCGACAAAGGCGTCGTATGATATTTAAACGGATTTTATAACGAGGTCGGTGAAGATGGGAAAAATCTTACATTTCTGTGCAAACTTGAACTTAACTAGTTCATTTTAAAAATGTGTGAACTGAACTTTGAACTAGTTCATAGAAAGTAAACTTCATCAAGACTGGTTGCCACTTCCCACGTGACCTGCTGACTAGGTTGATGTCAACTTTTTCATTGTTGTCATGACAGCGCAGCTTCTCATTCCGTGAACCTCTGGAGTTGTGAGTTTAGACTTTTTTTCGACTTTTTTTAAACTGTTTCCTGTGGTGTTGAGCAACTATAATTCCTGTTAATCCTATAATTTTATACTTTTATTGATTTAAAGTGAATTAATTGTAATAAAATAAATAAAATTAAATAGCTAAAGTAAATCATAAGTGGAAGTGCTGTCAATTCATTGAATGTTCAAAATATTCATCTTTATTTAGAAAACAAATACACATTGGTTGGCCTATTCATGAGAATATATCAGCAATTACACATGTTTAGGGAATAGGGCATTATTAATGCATGTGCTAAGGTATGTGCTTTTTTTAACAATTATTCATGTACAAACAGTAAGGCAATAGTAACAATTCTAGATATGGGTAAACCACTATCAGAGTCTGCCCGTGGGGTGGGGGCACCGCCGCGCCAAGCAGTGTCCCACATTGTCCCTCAGAAACATACCCCTTGTCCCCCCTTGGGCTTATTAGCAGGTGGTCACCCTAAACACGGCGGTGGAGCGTTTTTAAGGTTTCCACTCTGGAGGGTGGTTTCACTTTTTTTCACCGATAAAATATTTTTACGTTTTCACCCGCGAGCTTTCTCGTGTAAACAGGCCCCGAGTCTGTGTTGGCTGTAAAGATGAAGATGGCGTTCATGCACTGCTGGCATCGAGTCTGGTGAAACGTAGCTAGACTTTTGATCTTTTCCACATTTTTCCATCTATGTGGGTTAGGACACTTATACTACAGCCTCACGTGCAGCCACGTCTCTTTAGGCAACCACGTAAACTAGTGTTTAGAACACACACCTTCTACCCAAGTCTGCCCTCTAGTGACTGTCTTCTGTCTCAGTTCTTCTGTCTCAGTTTGAGGAGAGGACAGATCTAATAAAAAACTTGTGCATCCTCACCTTCCTTCATTCCCTTGGCTTGTCTGCGGGTGGTGTAGCTCCTCCACACTGAGCTGGTGGTGTAATAAGTGTCTTTCACAAATGTGTCATCTGAACTGTCGCTTTCATCATTAGAGTCTTCATCTTTGTCATCGTCGCTGTCTTCAGATGAATCGTCTTGGCCTAGTAAGTGGGCGAAAAACAAGAACATTATATACATATTTTAACACCTGCTCGATCTACATTATAACAAACTTAAACACAAATAAATAAAAAAATAAATAATAAAAAGGTATGATACTAGCATGCTATGAGTAGCATTTAACTAAAGGAAACCAAATTTCATTTATATATACACAGCATATAAAAAGCAATAATTTAATGCAAAAAAAAAAAAAAAAAAACGTGAATTGAACATGGTCATAGATAATGTGATGAACTACACCTGCTAGGAGACCTGCGTGAGCTTGAAGAACTGACACACTAAACCACCTACAGAGGCCAGTTTGTTAAATACGTTTAGTCTAAAGGTGTCTCAGAACAGTGAAGTTATCAAAGGCCACCTTTTTGCTTTTAATGCAATGAAGACAATCCATCAATATGGATGCAAATACTTTGTTTGAGCTTCACCTTTACCATAGTAGGATTCACAATTTTGACACCCAATTACTGAGTCGGACTTGGTTGGTGTCGTTACTTTTCCCCCAATAACACATATACAAGTAGTAGTGGAATAGTAGAACAAGTAGAACAGTCAGATGTGTGCATAGGTCTCTCACTTTTGCCGGTAGTGCTGCTGTTACGCTCCTCCATCTTGGTGGTGGATTTACCGTGTTGGGAGGAAGCAGGTAGTTTAACCCTGCTCATGTCCACCCCGCTGCCCTCGCTGTCGGAGCAATGAGCCTCACTCTCGTAACCTTCTTTAAAGTTCTCCACACTCTCAATGTGATCTAGATTGGCAAAGTATTCATCGCCCATTTCCAAACCTTCTTTATCGGCAAAGTCATCAGTCAGGATTTTACCTGAAAGAGTAAGAAACAAATATTAATGTAAAACACTAAGAGGGAAAAGCTTAGGCAAGACTAAACACTGGAGTGATGTTCTTTTAAATAAACTGAAGTCCAAGTGTGTTACCTGCATAGATACAAACAAAGGAGCCCTTGGCAATGTCATCAAGGCAACGAATGCCCCAGCCCTTATTCTGGGTCTTAAAGAGCTGCAGTCGGACCTGCAAACCGTGCTGAACCAGACGATTAGTACACATCTGGGCATTACAGCGACACCGCTTATTACATTCATAGATTCTGAGAAAGATAAAGGAAAAAGAGAGGCATTACAATTAAAAGGAGCTAGAAGATAGTAAGGTGAAATCAACATGAGGGTTGGTGAAGAATCACTGACCCTGTGGGGAGACATTCTTCCAGTCTCTTGTGATGATACCCAGCGTTGGGGTTGATCTGTCCACCTGGAGTACATCCTGTAGCCTGTAGAGTCAGCTGGTGACACGAACACTTGGATCTACAAACAAGCAAAGGTACAGAACAAAATCAGGTCTTTGTATTCATTTAAGAAAAAGTTTACATTTTAGGACTGTAAAAATATAATGTGGTGTAACCATCAAGTAAAAAACTAACCATTCATTATGTAAAAGTTCACCCCTTGACACTTTAGAGCCTGAACTAATATTGTCCTGTGATAAAAAAGTCATGAGGTTCTGCAAGTTTTTCTTTTCTTTTCTTTTTTTTTAATACAAAAATTGAACTAGAAAACAATTAAACTAGACTTTTATTTATTTTTTCTTGTTTTATTGCTTGTAATAAATGGATTGAGAAATACTAAGAAGGGTAATGTCTAACTTAAAAAAAAAAATGAATGAGGGAGAGGGTAATGAATAATGTCAGATCGATAAAGACCCATGGTTGCGTTTAAGGTTTAAATGATTAGAAATATCCAGCATGCATCAACAGAAACAAGTCTACCTGAAAGTTGAGTTATGAGATTTTTCTATTACAAATAAAATAAGGAACTAATGCAATGATAAATTTATCACAAAAAGATCAATAACATGCATTTAGGAAATAGAAGGGGTGTATTTTCCCATCATGCTGACTTAATTACTTCTTAGAAAATATAATATTTAAAAACATTATGACAAACTATTGTAAAGAGGTTTTGTTCTAAACAATTTTTTACTTCTTTTGTTGAAAGTTAATCAATAATACTAACTTGTCTCTGCAGCCATCAGTGCAGTCACAGCCCACCAGGAAGTCTGAGCTGGTGTTAATATAGACTCCATCTGCTGGGATTCTCTCTTTACTGTAGGCCACACTGGGTGCAGATGTGCTGTCGATTTCATTCACACAGGACAAGGGAATGTCTTCGCGGCCACCTGTGATGTCCCGGATGAAGTAGAACGGCCTCTGCGGTTGGAATCGGCGGTCAACCAACACATATGGATCCAGACAGAACATCTCCAAGAAGATGAAGTCACAGTGTGTCTGGAAGAGGTAGCGCTGGATCTCTGCCATATTCCTCAGACTCAAGCCACAGGGGGACTTGTAGATGACGTGGAACGACATCTGAGCAAGAGAGGAAGATGGTTAATAAAAATTAGTATTGATCAACATGCTCTTAGATATTTGCAACAACCATGGGAAAACACTTTTCAGTTTACCACTAGTCTGTAGTAGTGATGCAAATACCATAATTTACACAGATGTTGGTCAACATGGTGAATATGCATGAGCACCTTAAACCTGATATGAAATCTATGTGGGGGAATATTTTGTCCTTGTTCGCGCCGATTTCTGTTGAAATGACTGGATTTCGAACACAAAATAGAACCGATAAGACATACAAACTAGTGCTGCTGCGATTAGTCGACGCAATCGACCATGCAAATTAGCCGACGGCAATCTTTTTAGCCGACGTGTCGTTTTGAAATTGACTGCCTATTTATTTTTGGTCTCCCGTCTCAAACGGCTCAATGCAATTCACCTCTCCACACCAGTCTGTGCTTTCCCTGCTGGTTAAGATCCTATCCTTTTCCTTCCCCCGCCCCAAATTTGTTGCCCTGATTCCATGCGCTATGCGCAAATACACTGACGACTGAATCTCACTCGTATCCAAGGTAAATCAACACTATAATCCCTTACATGCGTTTTATTAAAATACATCATAATCCGCTAAAATGCACACCCGAGTCCGTGTTGCTTTCACTCACGTGAACCGTGGCACGGGCCCACCATGCACGCAAGTGTAAACGCGAGCTGCATAGCTGTGTGCCTGCCTGCTTTCAGCGCGATTCATTATAAGTCAGAGCTAAGCGTCCAGACTCTTTCAATTCAATTCCAATTTATTTGTATAGTGCTTTCACAATACATAGTTTCAAAGCAGCTTTACAGAAAATGCATGCATTGCATCTACTATACATTTTAGAGTGATGTTATCAGTTATGCATTTCAAAAACGTACATTAAAAAAAATGTACAGTAAGCTAATAATGTATTAATTTAAGGCATAACAAAGAGATAATTTAAGTAATGAATACATATGTGTTTTGGACATGATTAGGACTAACTAATATGGTATAGCCTTATATGGACACAAAAAAATGACAAACAATGTTTATTTTTAAATATATTAGTCGTTTAGATTAGTCGACTAATCGAAAAATTAGTCGAAAGGTTAGTCGTTAGAAAATTAAAATAGTGGGAGCACTAATACAAACCTTGCGGTTAAGTCGTCTACGGCCTGTCATGCGCCGGAATTCATAGAGCAATGGGGTAAGAAGCGGGTTGCGTCCTCGGTGCAAGTTGTGATGAGTGGGCCGGATGCGCTTTAGACAGTCTGGACTGCAGTTGTGTGTAAGGTAGAAGAGTCGGTCATTTGGGGCCTGATACGACGGCTCCTGAGGAATACGCTCACTTGTGTAGGTCGACACGGTTGTCTGTAAATTATGAGTTGTTGATGTGATTGGCGTTAACGTATGCACAGGTCCAGACTGCAGAAGAAAGAGCCTGCAAGTAAGAAAACAAGATGTTGGTACATAGTGCTTGCATACTTATATTATAATTACTCAATATATTTCTGTATAACTCTGAATTTGATTTGAGTGATTGGATTACAAAACCTTTGGACTGTATTTTACACCTTATCAGGCCACTGAAGACAAAAATACCAGTATTTCATCTACATTCATTCTGCCATGGCGGGCCGCCAAACCAAAAATCATCCCGCCACGGCTGCAGCTTCTCAATGAGGTCCGATATTGTGAATACTATTGTGTTATTGTTAAGCCCCGCTAAAGGCATAAAAAAACATTGTATATCTTGCTGGAGTTTAATGCTCTTTCTAAATCATATTCCTTTCTCCCTGGTGTCAGTTAGATTACAGTGCTGGAGTAGAGAACGCTGTTCTTCGTCCGCACTGTAACTGAAATTTAAAACTGTTAAAAGAATAGGCTGAATAAAATGTTGCATAGATAGAATACACTAATCACTGATAGATTGGGGTGGTGATGGCGCAGTGGATAAGACACATGCCTTTGGTGTGAGAGACCCAGGTTTGAATCCACTGTGAGACACCAATGTGTCCCTGAGCAAACTTAACCCCTAGTTGCTCCAGAGGCATGCGACTTCTGACATATATAGCAATTGTAAGTCGCTTTGCATAAAACCGTCAGCTAAATGAATAAATGTAAATGTTTTTGTAAATGATTAAATCTCTTCTCTTTGCTTTGTGCTTTGAACTTTTAAATGCAAAGCGCTGCACAATGTGATTAAAGTTGCTTCAAGTGCAACATTCTGCGCATGGGATGTGGGAATGGGCCTCCCACCACAGTTGGAAAAAAAATCCAAGTGGAAATACTGAATACCTCACGGAAATGTTGACAAAGAGGCAAAAAAGGAAATGTGGCATAGACAGTGTTGAAGTACCCAGTGTCTGGGTTATCACGCAAACCTGGAGGTATTGTGTTGCTGAACAGTGCCAATTAGTGTTTTGGGCTGGAGGTCAGGGGTCACGCCCTGACGAGGCTGCATTGCAACTGGACCAGTGCTCTTCTTAGCCATTTGACTCTTTAAACTGGGACTCCTGAAATGGAAGAGAAAAAAATAAACATGGTTTAACACTTGGCAGTATTATGAAAGAATAGAAGCTCCTGAAGCACTCACTCTGTGCGGGAAGGCTGTGGGGGTCCGGTCGGCAGTGGCCGAGGTGGTGGGAGCTGTGGGGCTATAGGCCGACTGGTACCAGAAGTACTGTTGTCACCACTAGTATACTGCACTACAGGACCCTTTGTCCTTAATGCTCCTAAAAATACATAGTTTTTAGTAAGAGGTGAACTGGAAAATGAGTGCAGAGTAGGAACAGACCAGTTAATACTTAAGATGTAATAAGAACTGTTTAATCATAAAATTAACTAATCTAAATTAAATTATTAAAGATCAAAATGGAAGCATAAATAGTTCACACCAAGGATGATAACTACACTGAACAAAATTATAAAGGCAACACTTTTTTGCCCCCATTTTTCATTAGCTGAACTCAAAGATTTAATAAATTTTCTATGTACACAAAAGGCCTAGGGTGGCACGGTTACATCCACAGATCGGGCAGGTCAAGTAATAAAAATAACATTCTGATTAATTTTGGGAAATATATATTCGTTATATATAATAAACGAAAAAATAAACTACATTCTCTAAAATGTGAGCATGTCTAAATTGTATTTTTTTCCTCCAGGCAGACAGGCACTAATTTGCACTAACACAAGATTTAGACTGATTTGTGAACAATATTTGAGAGAAATAGGCCTTTTGTGTTCATAGAAAAAGTCTTAGATATTTTAGTTCAGCTCATGAAAAATGGGGGCAAACACAAAAGTGTTGCATTTATAATTTTGTTCAGTGCATAATGAAAAATATATAGGCCTAGTTTAATAAATCATTCTAAATTTAGTCCTTACCACAGCTATGTTAATGGAACAATAATTTAGTTGGAATCACTTTCAGAATGATTTTTTTTTTCCAACTGATGGATGATAAAAAAATAATTGAGAGAAAATCAGAATCCATTCTGCTTTTATGGGTTTGAGGATTTAAAGTGGCAAGCAACATCACAGCAGTGCATGCTTATAATAAGTGACCTATGTTATGGTCACTAATATAGTTATCGTTCTTGTTGTGATAGCACCTTAAGTCTCCCTTAAAATGTAAAAGAGGAACAAATGTGGACAAACAGAAAGAAATCAGTCACCCATATTAGGCCGCTGTCTTTGTTGACCAGCCATTTTCTTCTCTTGACTGTTAGCGGTGTTCATTTTCAGATTAAACATCGGTTCTAGTCGTGTAGAGCCACGATAAATCCACTCACTCCGCTTATCATCCTGCAACATTGAAAACAATCTTTTTCATGTTCAAATGTCATTTAACATACAGCAACTTTTCACATGAACATAAAGGACATTCAAAGAGATCTAGCAACAAATGTTTTTTGTTTTTTCTATAACTATTTATCTTTAACTGTAACACACTAGCTGTTCATGTTGCCAAACTGACCAGGAAAAGCATTTTGACAAGGCTGCCATCCACTTCTTCCACACGGCTTTTCCACCATGTCCCCTCCCATTCCGTCTTAATAATTTGCCCTGGCTTCAGCAACACCATGGGCCTGTTGGGATATGATGTGATATACTCCTCAATGAAATCTTTGCATGATGCATCCTCAATATCCTCCCACGTCTTTTTCACTAAATCCAGGTCGAGAGAGAGAGAGAAATAGAGAATGATTCAATATAACAAATTATTTCATGCAATTATTATTCTTCATTTGTATTTTACAAATAGATTCAATAAATAACATGTGTTTGACATTACTTAAAGAAAAGGAAAAAAAGAAAATCGTTGCTTACAAGGTCTACAGATGGGATAGAGCTCAGGAAGGCCCACATATGAGGCATAACCATCATCAAAAAAGATCAGGAACCTGCAACAACATTCAGTCAGCATATTAGGTTGACGCATCTTTTTGAATTGGCTTATATTCAATGAGGAACTGTATTGTAATTTTTATTTTATATGGCTTTTATTATATTTGTTTTAAATTGTTTTATATTTTTATTATGTCTATCTCAGTATGTGCAGCACATTGGACAACCTCGGTTGGGATTAATGGTGCTATATAGTAAATAAAATTGACATTGACATTGACCACATGCAATGTCTTGTATACAGCAATCCATGAAATCTTCTGTTCATCTTACCTCATACGGTTCTTACTGTTGGGCATCTCAGCGACAACGCCTGCATAGAGCCAGACTTGATTGCCATCCTTGTACCTGGCAACAACACGGGCACCAACAAACAGTCTTTCCAGTGTTGGGTGGTAGTCAAATGCCACATGGTTACCAGAGAGAAGACTCTTCCCTTTATTTTCAAACTTCACCTTGTACTTAAAATTGTTTCCTGTGAACAATTGATATCAAAAGAATGGATTAAGCATTGAGAATCAATTTTAGCCTACTGAAAACACACAGCAGTAGTGAAATGTACAGTACTACTCAATAATTTAATAAACCGCATACACTTACCCACTTGTTTGATGGCAACAAGTGTTCCCCGATGCCACGTCTTGGTTCGTTTTTTACCCAAAAGTGTCATGTCGAGCTTGATGTTATCCTGTTTAATATTAGGGTTCGGTTGAGTGGGCGCATTCCTTGGGCCTGAAGACATAAACACAGCTGGAACAGCCAGAGCACCATGGGTTTGTGTGGAGGGGGCTTTAGCAGAAGGGGTTAAACCCGATGGGGCTGTTCTGTTGACCGTCTGGGCCAGGTTCTGCACCTGCTGAGATGTTCTTTGAAGGGCAGCTGAAGCCTCCTTCAACTATAAATATAATCCAGGAAAGTAAACATCAACTAAAGCACCTGACAAATAATAGTTTAGCATTAAGGTGCAGTCACAATTTCAGCAGATTTTGCAAGAAAAAAAATGGGGTGTCAATACGCTGATTTCAAGCTGCCGCCATTTTGAAATCGCTCCAGTGGGAGGAAAATCGGAAGTGTTGCCTTTAATCATAGGAGAGTTGTGAATGTGATCGCGTATTGTTGTGTTTAATGTAGAAATTAGTTATTCTAAAATGTACATACATTTCTTTCATACTTAAGACTACAGTATATACAGTGAAATTCATTTATAAATTAAATTATGTTAAATATATATATATATATATATAAATTCAGAACATAAAAAAGCAGCAGGAACAGATTATATACATATCCTATATTGTATATTTACATCCAATAGTGTAAATCGCGGCAGCATCGTCAGGTTTGTAGTGCAAGGCATTGTTGTTTATCTTTACTTCCGGAGTTCTTTCCACCGGAGCCTCACTTTCGATTTCATAATGGCAGCTGCGTGAAATAAGCCTATAGCACAGCTCAGACACAAGTCACTTTCAAACCAAGCAGTTTTCCGTTGGTCAACGTGGCGAATTTGCATGACCAACTTGAATTTACACCCAAACAGAAAATTCCTGATTCACTGAAAATGATAAATGTGACAGCGCCTTTAGAGCGGTTTGTCAAATTAAACATCTGTCTTACTGCTGGGTCCTTGGCTGGAGTTACAACCTTCTTGGGAGGAACCACTGTGGAGCAAAACACACTTGTTACTGTACAATTTATCAATTAAATAAAAAAATAAAAAACATTTAACTTACCACATCCTACAGCAATGACATCATCGTCATCATCGTCGTCAATCTCAATGACCTCAGAAGTATTTGCCCCACCTACACCCTCATCCTCCGAACTGCTCTCACGATACACTAGACCCATCTTACTGTACACGTCCTTCACTAGAGCTTCACACTGAACCACAGACCTGTAAAAACAAAGATTTAAGCACTGGATTACACTCAAAAAGAGACCCACAGCAATTGATGGGAGTGGAAACACCTGCTGAACTTGTGCAGTTTTTTTGATCAGTGTATCATTTGCTGAAGTTGTTTACCACATGATATTTCTGCCAACGTTACTGAGAAGAATTTGTATATATTATTAATATATAAATGCGAATTTGTGTTGAAGTACTGTATATTTCTCGAGAAACTTTTAAGAAACAGTTTGGCTGTTTGACTAAAGTCTCATTGTTGAGATTCTTTCTTTTCTTTTTTCCCATAAACCAGTGGTCCATTCTTTGATATTGTCTATCCACTTTTTCTTGTTCCTTCAAGAATGGTTGAATGGAGAATGGTTTTGTCCAGCCCTGAGAATCTGGTGACATGTCCATACCATTTCTTTTGACTGTTCATATGAATTCTTCATTGGGCCCAGCATGCTGTGCCTAATGGTGTTGAGTACTTCCTTGTTGTTCATATGTTCTTTGTAGCTTATGCCCAGAATTTTTCAAAAGCCTTGCATTTCCAAGGCCTGAATTTTCTTCTCGTGTCAACGATTGTCATGCATACAGGTAGATGGATTTAACCAGAGCATGCATAAGTCTGAGCTTTAATTTAAGGGTGATGTCCTTTTCCATATTGGCTTCAGTCTGGCAAGTGCTGTTTTAATCTGGGCTATCCTGGCCATCAAATTTGGATCCCTCATCATCAAATATCAAAAAAGGGATACTCCACCCAAAAATTAAAATTCTGTCATCCTTTACTCACCCTCAAGTTGTTGCAAACCAATAAGAGTTTCTTTCTTCTGCTGAACACAAAGGAAGAAATTTTGAAGAACGATTGGAACCAAACAGTTGTTTGGCACCATTGACGTCCATAATAGAAACAAAGAAAAACAAAAAACGATGGAAGTCAATGGTGCTAAACAACTGTTTGGTTCTGGATGATTATCTGGGACAGTTTGTCGTCAGTTCTGTCTTATGAATGCTATTTTCTAAACCAGGCGTTCCAGAAAATTTATAAAAAAAACAGTTTAGCTGTTTGACAGTCCCATTGTCGAGAAAACAAATACTGTGTTGATCTCAGTGCATAAACTCTCACACACTTTATACTTACTCTGAGGCATTAGAGCAAAGAGTGTCCATTTCAGAGACCTCCTTCTCCCTCTTCTCAACCCATTCCTGCAGCTGCTCCAGCTGATTTTTCCTCTGCCGCACGGCTTCACTGCCATCCACCTGCTCCTCGATCCACTTGCGCAGCTCGTCCAAAGACACCCCTAACTCCTCCTCCAACTCAGGATCCAACTCCATCTCTGAGCTCAAACTGGCATCCACCTCCATATCCTAAGGAAAACAGGCAAAAAATGTTGTAATAGACTATCACAGCATAAATCATGAAGCAAAATAAAAACTCTGTCATCATTTAATCACGCTCATGTCATTCAAAACACGTAACTTTTATTTATCTTCAGAAATAAAATTATAATATTTTTAATTACATTTTTCTTCAGATTCCTGTCCATCATTGACAGTCAATGGATTAGTTTTGCAATCTCTTTGAAGCAACAAAATAGTAGTTGCGTAGACAGAAATCGATTTATTTTAAGATATATTAATTTGTGTTTCGAAGATGAATGAAAGTCTTATGGGTTTGGAACAACATGAGGGTGATTAAATAATGAGAATTTATTTTTCATTTGTGGGTGACGTGACCATTTAACTATGGAAAGAATATCAGTGCATTTCTCCTCAACAACATTTCAAGTCATGTTTTTCAACAACCAAGTTGCATCTGTCAATGTTATTTAAAGGATCTGAGATAATATGAACATATAAAGGATGATGAACAGTTATTTTTTCTTAAGAAACGTTAACAAAGATTAATAAATACTGGAAGCAATTTCCCATTGATAGCTATTGCATTAACTAATAAGACCTCATCGTAAAGTCTTGCCAACAATTCTATAGTTCACAAATTTTAAGATTGGATTCAGACCTAAAGCCAGACAACATTATGACTAACGTTACTCTGACCCACTTCAGCCCCTTGTATTAAAGTATACAGCTGTTTTTTAAGGACAGGTAATGGTCCTTTTAAGAAGCATTTCCGTGCCACCTTTTCAGAATAAATTTAGCACCAGTCTTCTAACGTTACTTTCCCATGGCTGTAATGAATTAACTTATCGTTATAGTTTAGAACTGCAGCAAATATATTTTCGCATGAAATGTCTGTAAACATTGAATTAACGTTACCCTATTAAGAATATATAAACACAACATGTCTGGACATGTAGAAATATTAACTGATCTTCATTCAAAAAGGAGAAAGCCAGAAATGGCCAGCCAGTATGTAACGTTACGTTACTTCAACCACGACAATTCCTGCAAGTCAAGACCTCTAAACGGCGCGCAACACAAGAATAAGAAGGCTAAGCAGACCATTTCTGATAAAAAGCACAAAAAATCCATAGTATCTTGGCTTTCTCAAATCACCAGCATGTGAACATTTACAAAAAAGATCAGTAAAAGTGAAATATCAGAGTCAAGATAGATTCATTGAATTGTAGTGATGCTAACTGAGTTAGCTTAACGTTACCTCCCCTAACGTGCCTTTGATTCCAGTACTTTTGTGAATGTATCCTTTTCTCGTGTTTTAAATGAACGGCACACAAAGCGTGGTGTGTTTGAAGCGTTTTCTTATACCGCAGACATTTCGGTATTTTTTAATTTTGACAAATTCCACGGTCATCGAGCACTGCACAACAAAAATCCCTACGAATGTGTTTAGCTGATGATGATCGTGCAAGCTGACCAATCGGCTTTTGCGTGACGTGTGAGTGGCAGTTGAAGTGATCAATTGTATGAGAGAAAAATCCAGAGCACGCCCCCTACAATGAAACACGCTGTGAAAAATGTCCGCACTAGTGGACTACACTAAAGGACTACAAAGCAAAAACAGTGCAACCGAAACATCTGTGAAAATAATTTATTAATAATACTGTGCACACCGAAACAGTATTAATAAATACGAAACAATGTTTTTCCAAACAAAAAGAAGTGGCCGCCAGAGCCCTACTGAATAACTGTGTGCATGTGTTATTCTAAAACAACACATTCATTGTTGACTTTTTTATTTTTATCAATTCTTTTTGCCATGAAGGTCACATTAAAACTGTAACATTGTATGTTAAAGGTGGACTTCGAATTGTCCTGTTACACTTAAAAGGATGAATCTACGTAGGAAAAAAAGTTTAAAAATAACCACATCAGTTGCCTAAAAGTTATTTATTAGCTATTATTATTGCAGCATCTTATAATGTTTAAAAATATTAATCATTGGCTTGCCTAAGTGTAAATGTAACATGCAATGGAAATCAACCATTGAACTAATTATAGGTGGAAATCAACCAGTTAGATGTTTTAGTAAAGATAATTAGCTAGGCTACATTAAAAAATTTTACTTGAGCTCAAACTTGACTTTTGTCCCTTATTTTGAAGTTACTGTATGCCAGTGCCAAGGCAAAAGGCAGTAACATGATCAATATTTGGTTGTTGATCACCATTTACAAAATTGTTAGGCTAGTAACACCTGTAGGCTAATGTGTTATGTTTGTGCATGTTTTGGTTGGGTCTGTAAAGCACTTTGGTCAACTTGTGTTGTTTTTAAACGAGCTTTAGAAATAAAATGATTGATCAACATTTTGGATGATTTACAATTACATATAGCCATCTACTTATTGCTATCATGTGCTTTGGTTGCATTCTGATGGCATCATTAATTAGACATGACAATACCTCCATAGTAAAGCGAATCTTCAATTGGTGCGTGCAGCAAAACTAACAGTTTGACTGCAGATAGGTGACACTGAATTATTTGAATGCCTACAATTTAAGAATATTTCTAATAAGTAAACATTATTTTAATAAATGGAATGCAAACATACACTGAGATATAACAAATATATAAAACAAAGATTTAACAGATGTAACAACAAATCATGTACAAATTTAAAATCCATGGGATTGGAAGAGATAATAAAATCGTGTACAAGTAAGTGAGCTTGGCTGTTCATTTCATGTTGTTTCATGGTGTTCTTACTCCTCATCCTCCACAACATTGCTCACAGACAGTGAACACCAGAAAGCCCTCTTTTTGGGGGTCATAAAAGGACATGTTTTTTGATTATGTCATTCGTTCTTTGCCTCTTCAATCCCTCGGTAATGTGTTCTCAGGAGAGAGGGCACCTTCAGCTCGAACTTATGGAAGAAGTCTAACTCGGTAAAGTGAGCATCTGGGTTATTGCGCGAGAATAAGTCCCACTTCAAAACACACAATATTTCTACACTTTTGTGAATAATTATCTGTCAGGGTCTTTGGGGAAACGATGAAAGGCAAGATTTATACTGTCACACTGATAGTTTTTGCAGTGGATTGTCAAACATGTGTTCTTTCATTCCACTTCTTTCATTCTGTCTGGCATTTTTATAAATCGCAGCCAGGTCCGCGGTACTGAAGCGCCACCTAGTGGGCAGTGGCTGTTAGCAGAGTTTCGCATTGGCTTCTCTTTTTTTTTATTTCAATTTTTTTTTTTTTAATTCAAAATCTGAATACAACAAAATGGCATAAAGCAAATAATAATAATAATACAATTATTAAATTAAATAATAGTAGTTATTAATGGAAACTACAACAGATTTTAAGAAGTATTTTAATCGTTTCTGAATATAAATACAAACTTAAATTTAATAATTTGTGTATAGATTTATTTTGCCAATAATATAATGTTATTATTCAGGTCAAATAAAACAACAATCATTGGTTATTATCCCATGCATTATATTTGCCTCTTTGCTGACAGGAGTTTACGGTCACAGGATGCTGACGTGATAGTGTCTCAAAAACACACGTATCAAAGCTTGTCTGCTCTTGCTACACACTCAAAAGTATGCACCTTTTCTTCATAAACTCCTTCATAAACACACACTTTAATGCCATAGCTGTATAAATCAGCTTCTACTTCCTCTTCCGGAGTGAATATATTTGTTGAACTCTGCAAGTGGATCGTGTGTGGTTATCATGGGCATAAACTCCATTTCGCTACTGTCACACGCAACAGGTACGTATTAAAAATACTGCGTCATAGTTTCACGACAACGGCCGTTTGTGAAGCAGCTGGCTGGACCCTTGCAAGCAACGTATAAGAAATCAATCAATGGCTCTCTTTTCTTTAGTGTAGTTCTAACAGTATCGACATTTGCATGGGTACAGTGGAAAGACCTGTTTTTCTTCAGAGGTGACGCAAATGCTGTGCGCCGTCCAGGGTAACTCCCGAGAATATTTGGCCAGGTAAACTAAAGTTTTACGCTTCAACACATACGTCAAGACATTTATCTTTATAATTATGTAATACATATATATACGAATATATAATAATTTCGATCACTCCATGAATATTAAGTTTATTTTATTATCAATGTTAGACTTTGCAGACTGCGGGTGAAGCTACTGTAGCTGTTTGGCTAGACACTTTAGCAAGACTACTATGTGACAGATTAACGTTACTTTCATTATGGAGACTTGCGGATTTGTCAGTTTGTTGTAATTACTGAACTACATTCTCTGTTGAAATAGGTGGCCAAACTGTCGTGCAAGAGGCACCTAATACTTTTGGTCTAGGTAGCCTATGAAGAGATTAACGTTACTGTAAAGTTCATATTTGTAAATAAAAAACGAGTGCACTGCATGGTACTCGGAACATTCACAAATGAAATAGCAGCTGAGCAAAGCTACTACATTTGTAAATGTAAAATGTCTTATTCAGAAGAACGTGTGTATAGGAAGGAACTAACGTCTAGATGTAATAGCCTAACTTACTTCCTGTAAGTAACCCTTTTATAGTAAGACTTTTATTTCCCCCTATTAAAAGTGTTCACTAAATTTAACTTATCACATTATACATTACATCTCATTATAATGTATATATATATACACTTTTCATATATTTTTCCCCACATGTTGATGCATTTAAACACATTACAATTTAAATCCATGCTAATGGAATGTCATGTAATGCAGGTATTTGTCATCTACATGGGAATGGGGGACATGAAGACACCAGATTTCGATGACCTATTGGCAGCATTTGACATTCCAGACATTGATGCAAAAGAAGCCATTCAGTCTGACACTGATGGTAGTCATAATGAACACAGTGGTGTTGTTGGAAAGGAGAGAAGTGGAAGTCCATGCCTAAGACCCCCAGACAGCCACGAGGGTCCTAACAATGACCCCTCCATGGTCAGTGTGATAGTAAAAAACAGTGTACATTCTGATGACAAAACTGAAGAGGATATAACTGGAGACTTTCTTGGTGTAGATGCATCACACGAGTCTCCCCAGAAACGTCCCAGAGAAGATGACCTGATGCCTTCAGATTCATTCATCTATAATGGACTCAAAACAATCTCAGATGGGGCTCCAGAACCCTCTCAATCACCATCTCTAACCCAGATGCAGACCAATGGGCCACTTTGGTCTCTCTCTTCCTCTAGAGTAACTAATGATGACAACCAGGATGGCACTTCTCCTAAACACCCTGCTAGCACTTTCTCACCACCTCAGTCTTTACCCCTGACTGATCCCCCCTTCTTATCTTCACATTCAATTAGTTCAAATTCCTCCCCCAGAGTTGATTGTGAGGCAGCACAACCATTAAATGGCACTTTGAGGGCAGGAGTACGCCGCCATTTATCTGAAGATGAAGAATCTGAACCAGACCTCGGTAGCCCTGCCCTTGTCATACAGGAGAGCCCGAATTCCCAGCTGTGCTCTGCTCCCAAGGTACCACGAATGCAGCGGTCCCCTTTAAGTGCGTTTCAGCTGCCCTCTCCCTCGTCCCCTTCCTTACCAGTAAGTAACACTCAAATTGAGGAGCCCTCTGTCCAGCCACCAAAACTTCTACAAAGCAGTGTCGACCCAATGTCAATGACCTCCAAAAATGATTTGCCAGCTGAAGAAAAAGACCTTGAGCACATAATCGAGGAGCGAGATTCTCCTGAGAGCCCTGAGCCAGATATCGCTCAACCTTATATATCTCTGCCCTCAAATCAGCTCGGAGTCAATGAGCCAGAAAAGAAGGAGAGAAGAGAAGAAGCCCCTCAAGATCAAGTTATTGACATGAGCGTAAGTGTGCAGGAGAAGAGCGGTCTTCACACACAAAAAGATGATGATGGAGCTGAGGAGACAGAAGAGAAATCTACGGAGCCTCGTTTGGTAGATTCAGCCTCTGAAGGTGTCACCAAGTCAAGCAAGGCCTCCGTCAAGCCTCTCAAAGTGAAAATCAAGACTGTGAAAACCTCTGCCGGTAACATCACACGTACGGTATCTAAAGTGGCTCCCAAAGGTCCTGGTGGCTCCAAAGTTCCAGCAGGGGCCTGTAAGTCAGTCCACAGGGTTCAGAGATCTGGCACTGCTCCTCAAGGACCACCTCAGGTGACAATGTTGCCTGTGTCCACCCTTCAGGATGCCAGCACAGCTATGTTATTTGCAGCCAGCAGGGCACAGAATCAACTGGCCACCACTCTCTCTGCCACTGCAGTCAACATTACTAGAACGTCTACCCTGCCATCCATCTCTCCATCCATGCCTGGGGTTAACATTCGCTCTCTGGCGACGAAAACGATGAATGGGAACCCTGGGACAGCCAAACCAGCCTCCATTGTGAACAGCCCAGGAGCTGTTATCTCACGCAGCCAGTCTAGCCTCGTTGAGGCCTTCAACAAAATCCTTAACAGTAAGAATCCACTGCCTAGTTATCAGCCGGACCTCTCCACCATGCCTCCCCCTGAATGGGGTCTTCGATTGCCATCAACGGGATACCGTTGCCTTGAGTGCGGGGATGCTTTTGCCCTGGACCGCAGCTTGGCGAGGCACTATGATCGGCGCTCTATGAGGATTGAGGTGACCTGCAACCACTGCTCCAAACGCCTGGCCTTCTTTAATAAGTGCAGCCTGCTGCTCCATGCACGAGAGCACAAGGAGAAGGGACTGGTTATGCAGTGTTCACACCTCGTCATGAGTCCTGTCAGTGTGGAGCAGATGATTGGCCAGCAGGAGACCGTGCCTATAGGTTTGTGTCTTTATCAGTGTATTCATAGATGCACTAGGAAAAGAAAAGTACTTATGTCACCTTTCCTCAATTTTTTTTAATTACAACCAGTGGGAAAAAATGCTGGAACCACCATACTGAGAGATGGCCACCCAGATGTTTTACTTTATAACAAACAGATCACAGATATGAAGGAAAAAAGGTTCTGTTCATTAGCTTAACATTCTGACTTGAAACGTACCTCAAATAAATTACCTTTTTTATGGCATGTCTTTTATATTTCTATATATTCTTTTTTTGAATTATTTTAGGCATGGACTTATTTACAATATTCCCCTTCAAGCTGCTTCCAACTTTCTCAAATAGTGGTTGACATATCAGCTTTGCAAGATAGAGCCTTGTCATTGAACTTAGAGCCTTGTCATTGAACCTCGTCATTGAAAAAAAAAAAAAAAAATCACTATAAATTTTCAATTGAATTGAGATCCAGATTGTTTACTGGATTGACGACATGTCATTTGGTAAAGCTGCTCTAGAACATTACTTCAGGTTTAAACATTTAAAAAGAAGCAAAAATACACTAAAGCCAATAATTTCATTTTAGAAACAGTATGGCTCTTACTGTTTGTCTCACACAGTAAAAAAAAATTGTGGTCTTTAGCCTATACATATTTATAATGTTGCAATAGATTTGATTTCATCAAAGATTCCTAAGTCTCACGGTTTCCACAAAAATATTAAGCAGGAACTGTTTTGAACATGAATAGTAAATGTTTCTTGTAAAATTCTAGTAAATTTCTGAAGGATCATGCGAGGCTGAAGACTGGATTTTTTTGCAAAAATATTTTACATATGAAGAGTTCAGATGCAAAAGCCTCTAAGTGCCATTTGAAATTTTCTTCTAGAATGATCAATTTTATCAAGCTTGTATATTTAAGTTCAGTGATTTCACTTAAATGGCAATGATAATTACCTATTAATTGTTATTTAAGTGAAATTACTGAACTTAAATATACAAGTTTGATAAAAATCATCATTAAAGAAGAAAATTTCAAATGGCATTTAGAGGCTTTTGCATCTGAACTCTTCATATATTACATCTATATATTTTACTTTTTTATCAAATAAATGCAGCCTTGTTGAGCCTAAGAGACTTTTAAAAGTGTATATATGATACCATCTTCAAACTTTCGAATGTTAGCATATGATTTTATATTTTAGGAAATTAGTTCTTTGCAAAGGGATCATCTTATTTACGGGTTCTTTTAGGGGTATTGAACATTTTAAAAACCTGAATGATGTGATTTGCTTCTTAATTTTAGCTTAACATGTATCTGCACAAAATATTATATTTTATAGAATATTACAGAAGTAAAAATAGATGTATCAGTAGCCATTGTGCATACAGGGATCAGGGAGCAGCGTACAAATCAACCAATCACTGTCTGTCCACTGCAAAACAAAGGACTTAAACCTTTAAAGGGATACTCCACCCAAAAATGAAAATTCTGTCATCATTTATTAACCCTCAAGTTGTTGCAAACCTGTATGAGTTTCTTTCTTCTGCTGAACACAGTACATAAAGGAAGATATTTTGAAGAATGATTGGAACCAAACAGTTGTTTGGCACCATTGACGTCCATAATAGAAAAAAAAATACTATGGAAGTCAATGGTGCCAAAGTTCCAAAAGTTCTTCAAAATATCTTCCTTTGTGTTCAGCGGGAGAAAGAAACTCATACAGGGTTTGCAACAACTTGAGGGTGAGTAAATGATGACAGAATTTCCATTTTTGGGTGAAGTATCCCTTTAAGTGGAATAATTCAGCTGGGGCTTGTTCTCTCTGTTTCCATTTTCAAAGGACAGTCTCTGGACTCGGCGCATTGCTGGTTTATCCTTTAGGGAGATGAACAGTAAATGACATTAGCTTAACAATGCTGTAGATAATTGACCAATAATCTAATACATTAACCCATGTCCATTTCAGAATGATTTAGCTGATGTGTAGTTACTGTACTCTGTCTCTACAGGTATACTCTCTCCTGCTCTGCCTACCCTTAAACAGAGTGGTGGCCAACTGTCACAACCTTCTGATAACAGGTAACCACACACTGTTGGATCATGTTTTAGTTTTTATACTTGAATTAATTAGAAAAAAAAAAAGTAATTCAAATGAAATGAATTGAGATTTCTCATTCAAATGAAATGGTGTTTGAGAGATTAAGATGCTGTTTTGGTATTTTTAATGTGTTCAGCTGTCCAGAGTGTTGGAGTTCATTCAAAGGCAAGGCAGAAATTGCAGCACACTTTCAAGAGGTGGATCCTGGGGTCACTGACATGGTGAGTGAGTGCATTTGTGTGTATCAGGCCTCAATTTGCACTTGCCCCTTTAAACACACACACACACACAAAAATGTAATAATATATTTGATAAAAAAATGTACAAAATGATTACATTTTGATTTCTCTCTAGTGTTGTATGCAGTGTTCTCCTCCAATGCCACTGTGGAACTCGTGCAGTGCTGCAACTCACCGCCGGTTACATCAGCAGCTCCCTCCACTGGTTTGCCCTGAATGTGGTGTCATCTGTCAGCTACATGAACTCAACACCCACCTGAATCAAACCTGCCTGCACTACTCACGTCGCCTGGGATATAGGTATCCACACACATAGTAGTAATATATACTAGTAAATCCCTTGTTTTATCCATTGGTTTATAAAGGAGCTATTTCCTCTTATCTGCAGATGTGCCTGTTGTCATTTGGTGTTTGGAGGAGTGAACAGTCTGAACGCTGTAAAGACTCACATGCAGTCGGCTCACTGTGAGGTCTTCTATAAATGCCCCTCCTGCCCCATGGCTTTCAAGTCTTCCTCTGGTGCTGAAACCCACTGTACCTCCCAGCATCCTGAACTCCCTGAGACGGCAAGACAGTCCAAGTAAGTGTAAACGTGTGTGCCAGTATTGGGGAAACCACATTGCAACTGCAGCCACACCACAAGCTAGTCACTTAAAGTTGTTATTATCTACACTATGAAGTTATTTAAGGGGACAATATTTTTATATTATCTCTAAATATGGAAGCATTTAACTAAATATTTGACTTCAAAAAAGAAGTTGCTAGGATTTAAACTGATGTACTGGAAACTTAGGTTAAGTAGTTAGTTACTCCCCAGCACTAGCTTGTATGTCCTCGATTCTATCTTTAAAGTCGGCATGAAATGGGAGTTGAGATTAGTCTTTTCGTCTCTTTGTGACATCCGATTGAATCGGCTTTTGAAATGACTAAAAAATGTTGGACAGGACTGGATTTCGTCCTCTGGAATTGATTGGATTGTAGAAAGTTGGGAGTTGCTAACTAAATGGAAGCTGATCTGAATGTAATTTAGCAGTCAGTTGTGGAGGATATTTGGTCCCACCCTTCGCCTAGACATAATAAACACTGTAAGATTATAATAAACACTGTAAGATTCTTTAAAAAAAAAATGAATTGTCAATTTTGATTTAATGGTGACTTTTATGCATGTTTGCATAACTGAGGCGCTAATAACCTTTTTTTTTTGTGACAGGGAGATCTATAAATGCGTGTTGTGTCGGACTGTTTTTACCCAGAAGGCATTGCTCAGTGTCCATTTTGACACTCACTTAGCTAAGCAGAAGATGCACGTCTTTAAATGCCCTGACTGTAACAAGCTCTTCACGCAGAGAAGTTCTCTCCTTGAGCATGTTAAGGTTGGTTTCGTTCAGATGAGACAAAAACTAGCTCCATTCATTGATTAAAAATTATAAATGTTTGACCATAATGTGTCTCTAGGATTCTCATAAGGACATTTATGACACATCGGCACTGAACAACTTGGTAAAGATGGATAGCTCAGATGGGGAGGAGGGGGGGCGGGATGAAGAGAGAGGAAGAGTGTCAAGAGAAGATGGGAACGCCGCTCCACATATCCAGAGCTGGAGCTGCTCACAGTGCCAGAAGCGTTACAAAGAGAAAGAGAGCTACATCACCCATATGTCTGAGCAGCATGGCAAGGTCAGGACGCCATCACGGATGCATATGCAGAAGTTCAGATTACATACATTGTCAAAAATGTAAAAAAAAATATATATATATATATATATATATATATATATGGCTGTGCAAAGATTAATTGCGATTAATCGCATCCAAAATAAACGTTTGTGTTTACATATTACATATATTATGTGTGTGTGCTGTGTATAATTATTTTGTACACACACATGCATGTATGTATTTAAGAAAATGTGTTATTCATATATAAAATATTTTATATTTATATATAATATAGATTATGTATTTATATATATTCAGTAATTACGTGCAAATAATTCTTAAATATATATACATGCATGCATATGTATTTATATATACAAAATAATTATTCACAGCACACATATATTATGTAAACACAAAATTTTATTTTGGATGAGATTAATCGCAATTAATCTTTGCACAGCCCAAATATATTTTTATGTCCATGTTTTATACACTACCATTCAAAGGTTTGAATCTACAATTTTTCTTTTGGAAAGAAATTAATATTTTTATTCATTAAAGATGCATTAAATTGATCAAGTGACAGTAATGACATTTTATAATGTTACAAAAGTACTTTTAAGGAAATGCTGTTTCTATTTCTTTTGAATTATTCCACTTATACTTTCTATTCATCAAAGAATCCTGAAAAAAAAAGAATCACTGTTGTTAATATATATATTCAGAGTTCAGATGCAAAAGCCTCTAAGTGCCATTTGAAATTTTCTTCTAGAATGATCATTTTAATCAAGCTTGTATATTTAAGTTCAGTGATTTCACTTATATGACAATGATGATTACCTATTAATTGTTATTTAAGTGAAATTACTGAACTTAAATATACAAGTTTGATAAAAATCATCATTAAAGAAGAAAATTTCAAATGGCATTTAGAGGCTTTTTCATCTGAACTCTTCATATATATATATATATATATATATATATATATATATAAATCCATTATGACGATAATAAAACATTTTTTCTTGATCATCAAATCAGCAAATGATTTCTGAAGGATCATGTTACACTGAAGACTATATCAGTGTCTTAAGATGCTGAAAATTCAGCTTTTACATCAAAGGAAATTATATTAAATATATTTTAAATGTAGAAAATAATATTATATTATATATTGATGAAATAATATAACATATTTAAGTTCGCAGAATTTACAACATTACAATAAAAAACATTTTCAAGCTATAAAAACACATTTTGAAAATTTGAATGTTTTCTGATTTGTCCTGAACCAAATGAATGTATTAATGGTGTATAAAAACACATTGACATTTTTGTTTGAAGGAGCTGAAGAAGTTTCCATGCACTCTTTGTGAAGGCTCCTTCTCGTCATCTTCGAGTTTAAGACGCCACATTCGTGTCAAACACAAAGGAATCAAAAGAGCTTTTTATTGCCAGTGAGTATAGGACATATGTACTATAGCCCCATTAAGTATTTAGACACTTAAAATGTATGAATGTCTTGGAATCGCATGTAAAACATTACAAAATATTTGCAATCAAATAATGTTAGACCTTTTCTTACAACTGCCATCATTTTTAAGTTTGGCTTAGTTCAGCAGGGTTCAGTTTCAGCAGTGTTTCTCTCTTATTTATCATAGTTTTATCCTTTTATCCAAGCATAAATAAAAGGGAAGTTTAACACTAATTTTTTTAGGTTATTTACTGTTGTCTCTTGTTGTGAAGACTTTGTACAGGTGGGAAGAGGAGTTTCAGCAGTAAGCTAATTCTTGAGAAACATATTGAGGCTCAGCATGGTGGAGACAGAAGAGCAGCCAAACAAAGTCAGGTAAGAGCTCAAATACACTGTCAGATGGGCATAATATGTCCAACACCATGACCACCTAACAGTGACTGTAACATTTGCTCTCTAGTAGGTGTTTCTACTGCTAGATGCCGTAAAGTTATTGGTAAAAATTTGATTATAACTGAGATATTTGAACACCTCATTGTGTCGGTGTTCATTTGCATAACGATTTTTTTTTAACTTTTCACAAATGCATCGAGTCTTTGAACACACTGTACCAACACTTAAAGGAATAGTTCACTTAAAAAAAAAAAAATGTCATCCTTTACTCACCCTCAAGTTGTTTCAAACCTGTATGAATTTCTTCTGCTGAACACAAAAGAAGATATTTCAAAGAATGTCAGTAACCAGACAGTTGATGGACCCTATTGACTTCCATAGTGTTTTCTTCCTACTATGGAAGTCAGTGGGATTCATCAACTGTCTGGTTACAGTTGAAGAAATAAATTCATACAGGTTTGAAAGAATTTGCATTTTTAAATGAACTATTCCTTTAAGGCTCGTTCACACCAAGGATGATAACTATAAGGATGTAGTTTTAAAAATAATTAAAAAATTTAAAGGGAAGTCCAAACCACAACTGTGTTGATAACGGTTCAGTGAAATGATATCATTGGAATCACTTTCAGAATAATTTTTTCCAGTTTATGAACAAAACAAAAAAAAGACAGCCAATTAGAAACCATCCTGCTTTAAAGAGCTTGAGCATTTATAGTGGTATATGACATAACTGTTGCGCAAGCTTAAAATAAACTGAACATTATGGCGCATTGGTGTGGACGCTAATATTGTTATTATAGTTATCATTCTTGATGTGAACGAGCTGTAAGGCTCATTGAAAGTGAAATGACTTCCTGTGGTTTTGTCAGTGCAAGTCACTTACAGTGTTTTCATCTCGCAGGCAGTTCCTCAAATCACAGATGCAGCTGACAGCTCTTCGGAGCACGATGGTGGTACTTTGGGTGGGGCCTCAGTTGAGGCAGAAAGCCAATTGGCTGAGAGCAGCCTGACAAGACAGAGCAAAAGAGCTAAAGAGGAGCAGGAAGCCACGGGATTTCGCTGCATGCCGTGTGGTTTTACCTCAGAGGAGAGGGAGGAATTTCTCCAGCATATTGTCTGTCACCGTGACGGGACGAGCACCTGTCAGTGTCAGCAGTGCGGGGCGTGTTTCGCTTCCGCCTCCTCCCTCAGCAGGCATCTCTTCATCAGCCATCGCGTGCGGGATTCCCCCTCCGATCACACCGAGGCGTCTCCGGTCACTGGTTTAACTTCTGGACATGTGACCTCTGACTCTGCAGTTGCAGCAGGGTCCCCGGGGTCACCATCGAGTGTAGGGGGGACACAGGTAGAGGATGGGGAAGGTAAGCACACCTGTAAGGTGTGTCGACGTAACTTTAACAAACCCGCTGATCTTAATACACATTTCAGAACTCACGGCATGGCCTTCATCACCGCATACAAAACCGACAAACCAGCGTAGAGAGACAGGAAAAAATTAACACGAGGATAAAAATCATGAAACCTGGCAAGAACATGTCCGTGTCATTTGCCACTCCAAAATAAAAAAAAACGTAAAATAAGAAATTATATTCTACTTGAAGAAAAAGAAGCCCAATTTTAGGACTATTTTTAATTTTTGAGATTTTTTTTACATCATTTTTTTTTTTTTTTTTACTTTTTTGATTTAAGTATATATATTTACTTTTTTATTTTTAATTAAGTAAAATTAAAATATATATATATAATTTTTTTATTTATTTATATAATATAATTTATAGCCCTTTATTTATGCTCATTTAAATAAAAAAATACAGCATCACAGTAACAAATAACACACAATAACAAATTATTGATAATTGAAATCTCAGAAGTAAAATGTCCAAATGTACGCTTTGACAAAAAAAGAGAAGTACTAAATTGTTATAAAAACTTATATTTAATTCAAGTAGATTTACAATTCTTTATGAAACAAATAATTTCTCATGTATGTATTTTTTCTTCGATTTTGATCTGGGTGAAATGTGAGCAGTGTGTTTTTGTGAGAATCAGCAGAAAGTGAGTGGTATGTATTAGTGGGCAATATAATAGAGCGTCCACTCTGCAGATTATTAACATTTAGGTTTGTCGCATTCTTTGAACAAACTAGAAAAATAAACTGCGTTGGGGGCAAATCATGTTTGTAATAACATTTAGTTACTCTTTGTCAAATCAAAGTCGAGGGGAGCATGTTGTCGAACAAGTAATGCTGTAGAGGAGTGCTTTAGGTTCGATCAACCTATAAAGTGATCATAACAAGCTCTTAATTGATCTGAGAGGTTTGGGGAAAGGGGAAAGACACTGAGCGTCATGTCTTTGAGTTCTCAACATATTCAGAGGGTCATGTTTACCAATCCTGCTATATTTCTGTGCCTACTGATTCCATTGTGCAAACAAAAAAAAACCCGGTCCGTTTCTCTAATGCAAAATGCAGCTTACTTTAAATAAAATACTGTAATTAATAACGGTTTAGCATAGCCAAATGGTCCAGAATCAGGTGACTCCTTTGTGCTTGAATCATTATTTTTATGTTTAATGTCTGTATTTCTTCTATTTGTGTTTCCATAGATTCAAATCAGGAAACTTGCTGAATAGTTGCTGATCTTTAGAATGAGAACGAAATAAGTGCCTTCTTCATTTAGTCTTAAGATTCTTTAAGACCAGATTATACTTAAAGGCCTCAGATGATTGTTTCCTCACTGGGAGGAATTTGTTGTGTGTGTGTGTGATGGAGTTAAAAATGTATATTTTTTATGTTTGTGCTGGACTTATGTTTTATTGGTGCCTTACACATTGTCTTCTGGTTTTCTTTGTAAAGATAATTAATAGAGCTTTGTTGTAATGTAACCTCTTGCATTATACCTTTTTGGTTGTTTCATATAGATTTTGTTGAGATAAATAAAAAAACCAATAATGGCTAAATCATTTCTCGATGTCCTGTTATACTGTCTATAAACAACTGATAAAACTATAAATCACCTCACTTGGAAGCTAGTTCTTGAAATACTGATATACATTGTAGCCCAGATTCCAGAGAAAATCTGTGGATTATCATCTGAAATATTCAAAAGGATTTATTGAAATGTACTTGTTTTTCAGTGACCTAAAGGCTCAGTCTGCAGTGTCACAAGATTCTTCAGAATTCATTCTAATATGATGATTTGGTGCTGCAAGGAACATTTCCTATTATTATCAGTGTTAAAAACAGTCATGTTGCTTATTAGTTTTGTGGAAAAAATAAAATAAATTCAGAATTATTTTATTAATAGAAAGTACAGTATTTAATTGAAATAGTTTTTCGTAAGAATGTAAGTCTTTACTATAATTATTTGCTTTACTGTGATTATTGATTTCCTGTGTGCTTGCTGAATAAAAGTATCAATTTCTTAAATAAAATAAACTAATCTTACTCACCACAAACTGAATGGTATGTATTTTGCAATCCTTGATATTTGCAAGGGATCTGGAAGTTTGAAAGACCAAAAGTTTTTCCATTTCAGCCTGAGCTCTTTGACGATAAATGAGGCGTATCATCCATTTTGAATAATTTTCATAACTTCTCTTTTAGCCATCAAGAGTAGACAAAGACTAAGTAGGTGAGACAAATCACACAATTTTGTGGCCTATGCACCTGACGTAAGGTTGGTATGAAGTTAAAGTCATCAGAAGTAAACTGGTGTGTGTTACACCACCTGAGGGTGTGAAAGTCTCTGGTTTGACTGTATTCAAATTTCACACTTACTCTCTTTACAGATATGACTTTTATTAACCTCATGTTGGGGTATAAATGATTTGAATTATGCTACCAAAGAACACAACCTCTAATATAAACATTTAACAAATTAAATTTCATAACAAAACTACAATTTAATAATGTATGCACAGTATTAAATATTTCATAGAATAATAAATCTGCGTGTGAAAAGATCTAAACAGCATTATTATCAAATATAGTTTCTCTATAAAATACATTTAATGGGATAGACCCCAGTTTTATCAAACCCCTGCCTCAGCATACTATATGTGGCTTTATTTTAAAGTTAAAATGTGCATTCAGTGACTACGTTTTAAATATAAATTAGAAATATAGCAATTCATAAATGGCCAGATACTAATCTACTGGTTTACATGATCATGTGAATCTGCCATCTGACCCATGCTATATCTGTGACCTTTGACCCTTCTTCTCCTTAGAGAATGTATCTAAGTAACATTAGCACGATGGCCTGCATGAGGACACATCCTGTCATGCTCTCTGCTGCTGCGCCTGGAGGAGGAAGAGAAACATAAGTTTAAGACTACAATTGTTTTTAAAATAAAAGGTCCAAATCTTTACCCCCCACCATCCTCCTGTCACTCACCTCCTTTTAGTGGCAGTGGGGAAACTGGGTTTAATCCACTGGGGCTTGGACTGGCCACTTCAGCACGTGCAGTTTTCAGTCCTACAGCTTCATCCAGTGCAGACCTTTGATCGACTCTCAGGCCTGCGCGCTGAGCCTCCGTGACCATGGCAGCATTTTCAGGGCCCAAAGCCTTCAACTGGCTGACTGACATTGCCTGAACACATATTTTAACAGTAACTTCTTTGGGGAAATTCCAAATGCCGTTTTTGCACCCTTAATGGCCACTGAGGGAAGGCTATGCCATTTGAGGGGCATTTCAAACAAATGTGAACACCTGAATCCCTTCACAATGGGCCCTTCCTAAGTCTGTTAGAGAAAGGGTAATTTTATCAATTGCTAAAAAATTAAGATCTATAAAGTATGCATTTGTGTAGTGTAGTACGAATGTAATCTGCTGGAGAGGGCTGGGGCGTCCTCCTCCATGACTGGGCCTGGGTGAAGGCTGCTGCTTGGACTGGGCGGGAGCCGTGAGAGGGCGCCCTCGGCGGCGAACAGTCTGAGGCGATTGCCCGGCCGACTGGGTGGAGGGTAACCATGGGCAGCGGCTCCATCGAGGGGAGGAAAGGTGGATGAGATCAACGAGTGGTCAGGGGAAGACATGGGGGTCTTCCAGGACTTTGAGACCTCATCATGCACATCCGGGAAGAAAGGTATTGGGGTTGGCCGCGGACGTGAATCGGGGACAGGGCGGAGGAGACCACTCTAACCCGATGCTCTCGGCTGCCCGGGAAAGCATGGCAGTCCTCTCGGGGTCGAACTCGACGAACGACTGCACTCCCGAAGGAGTGGGTTAGGTGGGAAGTGGGTCCTGTCCACCTTGTGATGCAACGACAGACATTGCATCATCCTCTGGAGCGCCAAAGGAAACTCACGGGACATCCGAAGATGGGCCCGCGGGAATCCCCTGGACGCTAGCTGGCATCATCATGGGAGCGGTAGGTGCAGGGCACGGGCGTGTAGTCGGCGCCTTGTTCCACACCGTCACCCTCAGGCCGCCCTGGCCACCAGCCAAAGTACTAGCTCTAATCCTAGAGGAAGTAGATCGGGGTGTGGATGAGGGGACTCTAACTCTTGCGAGCTCACTGATTCTCACCCGTAGTCAAGTGATGGTCATGTTACCACAGAGATCCCGCTTCTCTAGCCTGATCAATGCCCCAAAACACTAGACAGTGCTCGGGTCCCTATCAGAGTCAGGCCCGAGTCTGCCGCATCCAGAAGTGGACGGGCGAGGCATCTTTAAAATCTTTAGTCGTGCAAGCTCTTTTAGAGAGGAAATCTTGGTGCTGAAGCGCCCGGGGAGAAACACACTCACTTGCAAACCACTGCACTGGTAAGCAGGAAATGCGAACTTGCCGGGATGTCGCCCATCAGTCTAAAGATAAAGCTAGCTCTTGCTTCACCATAACCCTTCTTTTTCCAGTGATATTCCTCTGATCTTTTCTCTCAGCTCTTTCTACAGTCTTTCTTCAAATCTCCCTCTTATTCACTCTCTCCTCCCCCAGTATGAGTGTACACGCCCCCTACTGCTGATTGGCTACAAGCGCGTTGTGGTTCTTAGTCCGATCTACTTGCAACAGCTTTTCTCAGATATCACTTACTGTACCTTTAAGAACTGATGCAACATAAGATATGTGATAATAACTGAACCTGGAGCTAAATAAAAAATTAGTTTGCAAAAGAGAGAGAAAACTTACAGCTAAGCGATCCGAGGGTATGAGAGGGATGGCAGACCGCTGAACGAATGGCAAGACGGATGAATTTAGACGTCCCAGCTCAACAGTGCTTAGACCAGCTAGAGAGACACAAAGGCAGTTCTTGCATTTTAAATGTAAACTATTTACTTATTAAACTTAAAGTAGTTGTCCTCACCAAGGATGTTGCCCATCTCACTAACTTGAGCTTCAGTCCAAGTTTCTGGCTTTCCAAATACAGCCATTGCCTTTTCCTTAAGACTCTCTCTAACGTTCAGATGACAAGAAGCACGGCCCACCGCCTCAACTGCCTCCCTAGTAAAGACACATATCACAGGGCATCACAATGACCAGGTCTGTTTATAGTATTTGCTTAACAGTAGCTACAGTATTTTGTGCTGCAGTGTGCATAAACATCCTTGAAAATGAAAATATAGCCACAAATATGGAAGTACCTAAAGCTGGTGGAATTGAGCTGATCAATCTGGGCAGGTTGTAGACCACAGATAAACTGTCCCAGTCCCATCATCTCCAGTGGTCCTAGTCCAGCCACGCTGATTCCAGTCACCCTTTCATAAGCATGCCAGATGGCTGTCCTCTGCAGAATCCATCACTTTTAGTATTTGTTTGGTTTTGTGCTTTGCCCATGTTTGTTTTTGCATTTTTCTGTATATATTTAATCTATGCCAAATACCAATAAATTAAAACATTCTCTACCATTCAAATGTTTAGGGTTGGTAAGATTTTTCAATATTAATATATATATATATATATATATATATATTTTTTTTTTAAGGCTGCATTTATTTGATTAAAAAATACAGTAATATTATTTAGAAAAAAAAAATACAATTTTAAATAACTGCTGGTTTTCAGCATCATTACTCCAGTCTTCGGTGTCATTTGATCCTTAAGAAATCATATTTTATATATGCTGATTTGGTGCTCAAGAAACATTTCTTACAAAGTATTGTGCTGTATTTTGAAAACTGTGATACAATTTTTGTTCACGATTCTTTGAAGAACAAGTTCATTTATTTAAAAAAATTAAAATATTTTTACTGTCA